TGTTTTATATAACAACATAATAATATATCTCTATAACTTTCCCACCTTTGAATGATTGAAGGCAACTTGTTGGTGGGTGAGACAAACATGATCGAAAATGCATTTACTCAACGTCAGTGACACAAACCCTTTCTGATGGCAAATTATTACTAACATCTTATAACTGCCTTTTGGCTAAATCTGCCGTTGTATTGGTTGGTGGAGCATATGTGTCGACCTCATCCGGGTGGTAGCTGGCGGGAGGATCTGAGGAGACTCTCAAGGCTGCGGCCGAAAGCCGCACAACGTGGGACTCCATATCCTTGATGTGAGCGGTAGACTCATGACAAGCTCTGCGGCTAGCAGCCGTGCTGATCATGCAATTGGTGGTGATGCCATACACTTACATCACGTCTGCAGGAGCGGCGGTTTGGCAGGTGGTGGCGCTCACGGAGGGTTTACGGCCAGTGTGCCTATTTGCCTAAACCGTGTGACGTATATTCACTGTGGCTGGATTCGTTCGTATTCTGTATGGCGTTTACACGCATTGACATGCGCGACTTCGGTCGATGTTTGTGCTTACGGACTAACAAGGGGCCAAGCCTCTTTTACTGGTTCGCCAGTTATTTTGCAGTAGCCTACGGTCCAGTTCTCGAATTAGCGTTCCCTACGAGGGGAGTGCATCAAAATGGTTGGCGCTCACCGCGCACGGCGTGTTTGGAGCCGTGTGGCTCCCCTAAATTTTTTTAAATAAATGTAGGAGAGCGAAGCCCTTGTATCGGGTATTTTGTATAAATATATTGTGTGCCTTTTCCAAGTGGGAAGGGATAATTAATAATAAATTATTAATGTAAACCTGATGCAAGTGGAATAGGGACGTTTTATATTCTTAACCTTTCTCGAGCCCTGTCTTCGTGAACGGGGTTCACTTAGCTTATAAGGCACTACCAACAGCTTTCAATTACTCTAGTGAATATTCATTCTTCCAAAAGACACCTAAAAGAACTAAGTTACTAAATAAACACAACGTAAATAAGGGTCCTAACTAAGACGATCACGCCAAAATATTACAAACGGCCTATTACTAAACCTTTAGAAAGATCAAAACGTATTTTATTTATCCTGGTCACAAATATATAATTTTATTGAAAAGGGGTAAATTAATTATATATAATATATTTCATATATATTTATATACAAGCAAAGAGGGGGGAGCGTTACAATACTATCATATGGATGGAAATAGAGTCAAAAATTTAGAGCCATTTTATCTTAGTCATCAGAAATCAATCTTATTAACATATTGTAGCGTTGACTTCGATATCAACGGATTAACCACTTTCAGAGATCATTTGCAAAAACATTAAATAATTTATAGACCAATTATCAATCAACGGTTGAATCCATGATCAAAATAGTTTTCTTTGTCGACGATTTCACCCTGGTGAGCTACTTGCTGACGAATATTTAAAGTGTTGTGTGAATCAGTGTTGTCAGTGCGTTGATGTGGACAAGCTAAGTATGTTCTCTGACTCTTTTACATTTGTAAGTAAAACACGGCGGTAGAAAGTGACTCGATCACTGTGTCACTGGTACTGCCACATAATATCAAACAATTCGCAATATTGATATTTTGCACAATATTTAAAGTTTGGATGATTTACCTTTATATACCTACTACCTAGCAATTGTGAGGTCTAAAATGTCGCAAAATTAAATACAGTGTAATCTCGATAACTCTAACTTCAAGGAAAATGTTGAAAGTTTAGACTTAATGAGTTTTCGACTTAACATACTTTTTTTCGCAAACATAAACAAACATAAGGTACACAGATGTGTTACTTAGAAATTTTAATTAATGTTATCCTTCATTGCACGAGTACAAAGTACACACAATAAAACAGAAGCAACTTCCTTTTAGTTTTTATTACTATGTGTTCGAATAATTCCAAGTAAGACTAAGTAAGTCACCATATTTTATTAATTTCGACTACAGAGTCAGCTTTTGGGAATTCGAGTTATAAAGTATAATACCTTGCAGGGGAATAATATTTAATTCAAATTACAAAGTCTAATAAATTCGAGATACCGCGAGTTTCGGGATTTCAGCAGAAGGGATTGGCATTTATTTCATCTTAGTGAGGATTACGATTCAAAAAGGTTTGAGTTGTCAAGATTTCACTGTAATATATGGTAACAGAAAATCACATCTAAAAAAGTATGTATATAAAGTGTATAAAGATATGTATAAAGAATATTGTATCCCGGAACTTAGAGATATGCATTTACCAGCAGAGTTTAATCATTGTTGTGACGGTGTGTGTACTTGTCTAGATCACATAGAGACTTTAGATAAAATAAATGAAAGTATAGTGAACTCCTTATACGAGGTCGCACTTATGATATATACTAGGACATGTGTAGTACCCGTAGTCGAGTTGAACAAATATGTAAAAGATGCTTATTAGAAGTCCAGGATTCAATTTATTAAATGGGTTACTTATGTGGCAAACCTAATAAATGGTATTGTGTATGATCACATGTGTGAAAGCAGACGTCGCTTTAAATCTTAAGTAAAAATAATAACCGAACCAAAAAGAGCAAATAATAATGGACATAATAACTTCCCAATTTCGTAATAACGAATTCAAATATTTTTAAAATTTTTAAACAAGTTAAACATGGTCCTCCTGTCAACATTGACAACACTAATGAAGCAGAAGAAGAAGAAAGTAAACTTTTCTTTACGGAGGGCACAAAAATAATTTAACCTACATGGAGGAGGCTTTTGACATAAACCAAGTTCGCTTGACAGTTAAAACGGTGCGTGCAGTGATTCTTTCTTTTCATTTTTCCAGCGAGAAAGAGATCTTTCCAATAATCTTATGAGAAATATTGAAAATAAAACTGGGGATGTCTCGGATATAACCATCCATATGGGGATATATCGGATAGGCCCATATCATTGGGTACAGTATTAGCAAAGACAGGGACAGTCTACGTGATACGTTGTTCAAATCATCTGCAACTGCATGATGCACAATTCGGTTTCCAGACTGGGTTATCAATAGAGAGTGCAAAGATGTTTTTCATACAGTTTTGTCATACAGTTCCTCAAGCGAGTCGTCAAACACCACACGGACAGATACACGCCTATGTATGCTTGCTTTCTAGACCAATCAAAAGTTTCGATTTGGTGTTGTATGAATTATTGTGAAGTAAATTGAGGAAAATCGTGATCGCTGCTAAGCTTGTTACGAAGTTGAAGTATTGGTACACCAATCAAATAAGTAATATCAAACGTGCAGACGCGTTTTTTCATTATTTCAAACTAGAATATGGAGTGAGACAAAGGGTTTAAGCTCATCAAACTTATTCAGCTTGCACATTAATGACTTAATCATTGAGTTGAGCTGCATGTATATCAGATGACTTCTAGATGTTGAATGCTTAAATAATTTAAGTAACGCAGATGATATAGTGCTGCTCACCCGTGTGTCAGTGCTCTTATAAAATTGTTACGTATTTATGAGGATTATGCTGTTCGACATGGTTCAGTATATAATGATAATAAAAGTTAATTTTTGGTGCTTGAAGCTAGAAAAAAGTATTTTGCTTATTTTGTTAAGGTGGGCAGCAACCTTTTTCTAATAACAGCTCAAAATTATAAAAATTTGTGGTTACCAAACCGCTTGCCAAGTATAGGAATTGTGACAAGTATCTCCTTTATTCTCTCTCCTATATTCACATTATATATGGGAGGGCTCATACCAGAAACAAATTTTTAATACGCAGTAATGAATAAATCAAAATCCAACGTCTAACATTTCCTCTAATAATCTGTTTACCCTATTAGGACTACGCAGTACTTACGTGAATTAACTAGTTTACGACACTGCTTGATCAGCATACAAGTGGATGTTAGATTCATTCTCAGAAAATTCGATTTGCAAACGCACCCTGGCTGACCCTCTTCTTTACGGCGTTCCATTGTACAAGCGTGTCTTGATACAATGGAACGGCATATTTCAACGGGACATTTTTTTAATTGGTGTGTACATTTCATTGGGTCCAAAAATAATTTTAGAGAAGATGTTAAGTTTTTTCATTATAAACAGTTTGATAAAAATCTATCTTTAGTTTTACAAGAGGTCGCTCGATAACTAATGCCAGTGTTGAGCTTATTATACATATTTTTTGTGCATGGGAGTATTCAGAGGACAATTTGAGTATTTTTGTGAACGTTCCAAGGCCTTAGCCTGTGTTTCACTATGAGAGATTAATCAGGCAATTATAGCACTAGTGTCAAGAACAAAACGCTTAAAATTATCATTTTATTTTCAAGTTATAGAGTAAAAAGTTATTATTAATGGAAAGAAATCTGGATGACCTACTAATCAGTTTTCCTCAGGGTTCAATTCTCGGCTCAATTTTATTTCTGGTATATGTTACTTACTTGCCTTCTCTTGTAGGGGATAATCAAGATAAAGTATTATTTGCTGATGATATTTTATTGATTTATTATTCACTGATGATACTTTATTGAGCTTTAAGTAAGCATATTTAATAAAGACAAAAGAAGTCTTACTAGTGTGGATAAAGCTAGATTAGTTTATTTCAGTTATTTCTTTTCTTGCTGGTTCTTCTCAAAATAGAGTTTAGTTTTTTCCGAACCAGTGGTAAAAGTAAAAAGAAGACTCCGTAGGAGTCACCTATAATCTATATTAAATAAAAATTATTTATTATTTCTATTCTATTTTATACCGAACATCCATATAGTATTAAAAAAAGTATAATATAAAAAGGTAGATTATTGAATAAAGTACTAAGAGGAACAATATTTTATTTGTATATATTATAATGATGAATATTATATTATATTATACAAAAGTGTATTATAATATATGAGTGTTCCTAGTGGCAATTGCTGTAGTTGTGTGGGAGAACACGCCGGTACGCTACACGTCCCGCTGAATGTTTTTAATGAAGCCATTGGTTTATTGGGAATGGATGATACTTACTTTTGCTTTGGTCGGAAGGAACACAAACATTGTTCTTGCGACAACAATTTTTAATACATCGGCACTGCGGCTGGCACGGCACTACGATACCGATGCGACCAAATTTCGGACATTTTCCAGAAGACCTTTCCGTGCTGCAGTCATCAGTAGGGCAGTACGGAGGACAAGCGACAAACCTTTCGTTAGGGCCACAAGGAAATGGTGCTACGTGAAAAAATTTCATCATTAATATTTGTATTATGTGTTATATGAATAAAAATACTAAATGTTTTTGACGCATTGTAGAATTAAAATTATTATTAAATATTAATTAAGCGCAACAAAAGTTAAATATTTCTCTAGAAATTAACTTATTTCTTTAACAACTTTTTAATTGAAAATAGGTACGTTTGTATACGAATTTATATTACGATAAAAAATATTTTTAAAATTGCTTAAAGAATTGATATAATATTTAATTATGCGGTAGTAATATTTGAATTTTAATATTTACGGCATTGACTCGTAGGAATGCAAGTCCCATTTTTAGCGCGGCTGTAATTAAAACGGCATTCGCAACGTGGACGAAGCTTCATACCCGGTGAAATGGTGGCTGAGCAAGGTCTATTGATAGCCTCTTTATGTACAGGACAGTATCGATCACCGCATGGCGAAGGATTTTCCACGAGTACTTCGTTCATTTGACATTTTGAATTATCTGTAAATATATTCAATTGAAAAGAAATAAATTAAAATTAGGTCGTCAATACTGGTGATATGGTAGAGCCACGTTCATCGTTTTTTTAAATTTAGAACTAGACTGCAGCTATATTATGTTTGCAGCATGAATGGGTCGGCTCGCCCGGGGAAAGATGCCTTCACTAAATATCACTGCTGTGTTTCGTATGGTGGGTGTAGAGAACCGGAGATCCTTTATAGTAGTAACGAGGCATTCTATCTAACGCATCCGTCTTTTTATTTTTAATCGAAAATATCTATGGGCTTCAGCATCCACTTATGTCATGGAGTCAATAAGTTCATTTGTCACCCTCAATCTATAAAAACACATAAACGTATGACAAGGAAAATGTAGCATTTTTGTGGGTTGATGGATATCACCTTGGAATACGGTAGCCACTTACTATGAGGTGGATTGTAAATTCTTTTGGCACTAGAGCTTTACAAAAAAAGGTTTGGACACACTGTTTTAGACACAGCGAAAATCAGTTTCTGGACAATTAATGTTAAGTTTGAATGTAATTCCAGAACCAGAAGAATTTTTTTCACCACGTTGCGTTCGAATATTCGCTAGGTTTTATCATTGCAGTAATATGTACCAGGTTTCTGCACAAATGTTAAATTTGAATTTGATTCCAGAACCTGCAACGTAGTAGCCAGGTATCCCGACCACTAGACCACGCAGTCGTTCTTACACCTATTAATATAAATGTGAACTTTCGTTCGAACTATTTGTCTATTTTAGTATTATAAAAATAATAAAAAATTTTCAGAGATGCAGATTTTCATATGATATTTTCTTTCATCGCTTAACAAATGATGAATCAACACTAATAAAATTGCGATTAAGAATTTCATTTGTGCCGGCGAGGTTCGACATTGGGAAAATTTAAGTCAAGTGTCCACCTGGTACAGTTTACTAAAGATGGCTATTACGGCTATTTCTAGGTAGGAGATATCAATGTCCAGATGTGAACTATTTACGCACTAATATCCAAATAAATAGATATGTAAAATGTGGTCACCCTTGCTCTTGTACTTCCAACCAGAGGGAACGAGATTATGGTAGTTTCATATAAGCAGACAGAGAGATAATGCGATGTTAATACTGCCGTCGCATCGCGTTATTTTCCCTATTTATACCGTAATGAACTCCACGCTCGTTTGCATGCGTTGTTAGATGCTTATCTATATGTAGTGTTCGTACTCTTGTCCACTCTGTTCGGACTGTTGACCAATAATAATTGTTGATAAAAACGTGGTTATTCCGATTTTTATCACAGACCAAATGGTTCTTCTAGTTATTGGAATCAAATATAGACTGAAACATGTGATACCTCCACCATGAAGCTATTATCACAACAAAGAAGTTGGCTTGGAAGTATGACCGCTCAGATAAATGAATAAATGCATTAAATTGCTCACTAGTAGCTCAATTCCAATCCGCATTTGCTCACACTATTAATGAATTATTTTATTAGTTATTAATAATTAAAAATACAAAATATTTTTTGCCTATTGTACTTAAAACCAATGAACTTTTCCAAAAATGAATAAATACCATTAATTGCTCAAGAAATGCTTAATTCAAATCCGTATTTGATCACACTATTAATTAATTATTTAATTAGTAATTAATAATTAAAAGTACAATTTTTTTCCTTAACCGATCAGAATATTGAATAAGTGCACAAAATTTCTCACTAATCGCTCATTTCAAATCCGCAATTGCTCACACTATTTATGAATTATTTTATTAGTTATTAATAATTAAAAATACAAAAATTGCTTATTGTACTTAAAACCAAAGAACTTTTCCAAAAACGAATAAGTACCATTCTAATTGCTCAAGAAATGCTTAATTGAAATCCGTAATTGATCACACTATTAATTAATTATTTAATTAGTAATTAACAATTAAAAGTACAATTTTTTTCCCTTAACCGATCAGAATAATGAATAAGTGCACAAAATTGGTCATTTCAAATCCGCAATTGCTCACACTACTTATCAATTATTTTATTAGTTATTAATAATTAAAAATACAAAACTGTTATTGCCTTAAAACCAAAGAACTTTTCTAAAAACGAATAAGTACTTCTAATTGCTCACAAAATGCCTGAGTGCAATACGTAATTGCTCAAACTATTAACTAATTATTTAATTAATAATTAATAATTAAAAGTACAATTTTTTTCCTTAACCGATCAGAATATTGAATAAGTGCACAAAATTGCTCACTAATTGCTCATTTCAAATCCGCAATTGCTCACACTATTTATCAATTATTTTAATAGTTATTAATAATTAAAAATACAAAATTGTAATTGCCTGAAAACCAAAGAACATTTCTAAAAACAAATAAGTACTCCTAATTGCTCACAGAATGCCTAACTAAAATACGCAATTGTTTAAACTGTTAACTAATTATTATAATAATTAATAATTAAAGGTACAATTTTTTTTCCCTTTACCGATCAGATACTGAATAAGTGCACAAAATTGCGCACTAATCATTCATTAATAGTGTGAGCAAATGCGGATTTGAATTGAGCAATTAGTGAGCAATTTAGTGCATTTATTCATTTATCTGAGCGGTTATACTTCCAAGCCAACTTCTTTGTGGTGCTATTATCTACGGCTAAAATGATAACTCATTTTACATAGATTAAATAGTTAGTTACTAATACTTCTTGCTTTTCTGCACTTTACTGTTTAATTTTTGGGTGTTTTATATTATTCGCGTAAGTAGTGCTCAAGAAGGCAATATCTCTCGTCTTCGTGCGTGTAATTTACAATAATAATCTACAAATATATTAATTATCATATAAGTATATAATATATACTATAATATTAATATATATACTGTCTTAGACACGAGGAAAATCAACAAAACAATCAGGTCCGAATACCAACAGTTTCTGGACAAATGTTAAGTTTGAATGTAATTCCAGAACCTGAAGCTCAAACTTTCGTAGTCTGTGCCATAAAAAGTACTATGTACTTCCGACCGCGCGCTCCGTACCGTCGCACAGATTTTGTTCGCATTGTCTGTCTACGTAGTCCATGTTACTTCTATAGGTTTTACCTATTTGAGCCACATCAACGCATAGCCGGTTATAGCTAATTATGTTGAAGTGACCGTGATCTGCGTAGAAAAATCGAAGTAATTCCAAAAAGGTGTTGACAGAAGTTGGACTCCATGAGACATTTGGCAGTTTTTGTATTTGGTTGGACTGTTCCACTATGTCTTATAACTCCTGAGTTTAATAAAAGACCATTATTTCGATATTAAAGGCAGACACTACAATTTTATTTATATACGAATTTTATTTACGTATCGATATTATCTTACCACACATTTCACCTGTCACACAATATCCTTTGTCGTTCCTATAAAATCCCTCTTTACAAATACATTCATTTTTGCAGACCTCTGTCTCGTTATCAATACATCTAAATAGAATGTAACGATTTCGACATGTTTTCGCGGGCGGACATGACTTCACACATTTCAGCTCCTCATTAGGTCCAGTACACATCGTTTTATCTGTAAAATATCCTGTTATTATCGCTTTTATTAATTGTCGTGCCGTGTGGTAAAGGCAGAGGATTAATCCGTCTTCACATCTCGTTACATGGGTGTTGTAGTCAAACCTATGGTCTATAGAAAACATTATATATATGCGACTTCGACATTTTTTTTAAATTCCGAACTTTTAGTCCACTTGTTGGTTATTTGCTCTTACAGTTTATGAACATCTGCAGACAGCTTGGAAAAGAAGCTACAGACACAAAAGAAGCACGCATGAATGAATAAGATGGAATGCCTTAAAGACTCTATTTACACTGACTCTTTATACTCTTCAGAGCAGAACACAGTAAGCGCTGCTATTTGGCTGCAGAAGTAGTAAGACTTAATAAATCCAGGTGGAAGTCGGATTTAGAAAGTATTTCTTTGTCCTAAATACGACATTCACAGAACGAGATATGGAAGTATGACTAGGTCTTCCTGATCTTATGACCTACGATAAATGAAGGATAGTCGACAACCAAGCTGAATAAATAGTGTCAAAGTTTAATAGCCATTCTGCCTTAGTTTTCAGAAGTAGTAACGCATATGAAACAGAACGTTATATACGTTCTGTTTTTTAAGTTGATTGTATTATAAATGGGCTATGCGACTCACTTTTCTAAGATTGTTAGCAAAAACATTAAATATTTTTAGGAAATAGACTGATTATCAATCAACGCCCTAATACACGATCGAAACAGATTTCTGTGTTATAAATTTAACACAAAAAAAGCTGACTGATGACGAATTTGGAATGGATCAGTGTTGCCAATGCGCTAATGTATATACTCTTTTGCATAAGAAAGTAACGCACACGACAATGGAAGGTGGCCCAATCACTTTATGACTCCTACTGCCACATATCAAACTGTTCACAATATTGATATCAGGCTGCGATCTAGGTCTAGCCATTGTGAGGACAAAGATGTGACAAAATATAGTTAGCAATAATAAAACAATATGGTGTAAAAGGAAACCAGGTACTTGTCGAGACCACATAGAGGCTTTAGAAAAAAATTATAAGACTATAGTAAATAACTTGAACGAGGCCACAGTTATGATATATGAAGGCTATTATTAGGACATGGGAATAACCACCAGTAGAAAACCAGTACTCTATTTATCAAATGGGTTACTTATGTGGCAAACCTAATAAATTGTATTGTGTACGACAGTGTGTGTGAGAGCAGGTGTCGCTTTAAACATGAAGTTAAAATTATGACAGAATCGGAAAGAGCAAATAAGAATGGCCATATTAACTTCTCAACGTTGTAAGTCTTTATGATCAAACATCTTACAGAAATTCTTAAATAAATCAAGCTCACGACCGGAACTTTCTAAGAGCATTGGCCACACTAGTGAGGCAAAATATGTTGTTCAAAATTTGATGCAATCTTTTAAATTTGTCCGTTCCCTTAGTACCCATAAATGATTAAACTATACAGAAGAACCTTCTGACATAAACCAGTTCGTTTCACACCTAAAAGGTGGAGGTTTCTTGGTGACCAATTTTATTTTCTTGGGGTGTTGGGGTTGTTATTTTCACTTTGCTAGTTACATAGATATCTGTCAAATAATATAATGAGATAATATATTGTGTCAAATCTCAAAAATAAGACTGGTAAAAACTATGGGCCCATAAATAAAGCAACAATATTAGCAAAGTCACTAGGCAATCTATTTGATGCGTAGTTAAAAAAGCATTTGCAACTGCATAATGCCCAACTTGATTTCGGGACTGAGCTTTCAATAGAGAGTGCCATATTGTCCCTTAAGCGAATCGTCGAGTGCCACACGGACAGATATACGCATGTGTATGCTTGTTTTTTAGAAACGTCAAAAGACTTTGTTATGGTATCACATGAAATTTTGTGGAGTAATTTGAGGAAAACCAAGATGTTGGTTGACGATGCTTATACGCAGCAGCTAACATACCATCAAGTAGAATATTTGTTACTATAATTCTATAAATATAAATCTACACAATCGTCTTTTTCTAGTTATATTATTACGAAACCCCAAAGCTAGACATGGGCGTATCCCAATGTAGAAAGATTTGCCTTAGTCGTCGCACTTGGCGGAAGTGACCGCCTTTGACGCTGCTGTCCGTCGCTGGTCAGGGTTTTTTTACACCAGGCGAAAAATGATAATTATTCCACGATGTATCATATCAGACTTAATAAGATCTAGGCTTATCCCACTGTCCCTTACGACACCCACGGAAAGTAGGGTGATAAATTACACTCCCATCACACGGCGGGTGGATTGATGCTCGCACGTCTGTTGCCGTCTTGTACCTTTGAAGCTTCAGTATTGAGTATACACGACTAAACATTTTTACCGCAAAGGTCCGTGGCGTTGTATAATTTAGATTCAGAAAACAACACGACTAAATATTCTCAACACAAAGGTTCATCGCCGTAGCATAATGTACAGTCGGAAAAAACACGACTAAGTATTCTCACCGCAAAGCTCGCTCGTGACGCAGAAGCCATTAGAATCTCTGAAGAAGCCATCGTTACAAACACATTTATTTTCACAAACTTCGTTCATATTATTGGCGCATTTATAAGACACTTTCCGATTTTGACACGTTCTCTCAGGCGGGCACGCCTTAACACATTGAAGCGACTCATTCGGCTTATTACATTGTGGTTCTGTAATGGGCAATTAATCTCACATTTTCTTTTGAATAAAGGTTACCATCACGTTGACTATTTGTGACTTTAGTATTATAAAAGTAAACCTAAAAATATACTATTCTTCTGTCTATATCATCTCGTAAAATCCAAAGCTGAAAAAGAGCGTATCCAGTTTCAAGAAATATCCGCCAGCCGAGAGTAACGCTTAAGGCAAATCCCTTAAGCGTTACTCTCGGCTGGTGGACTCAAAAAACGCATAAGCATACGTAAGCTGACTTTGAAACTGTTGTCCATTGCTGGCCATGCTATTTTACACCTGGCGCAGAGAAACGGTATTTCCGCCATCAATAGGAAGGTATAAGATGTTCTAGGTTTATTCAATATACGCCTCTAAAGGATACTCTAAAGCCACCAACACAAGACGGGATTCGCACCTTTGGCGCTACAGTAATTAACATACAACCTCGTCGCCGATGTATAATGTACAGTCAGAAAAAAAGACTAAATATTCCCATCGCAAAGGTCTTACGTCGTTCTATAATCTACTGTCGATAAAAAAACACGACGAAATATTCTCATTACAAGGGTCCGTCGTTGTTGTAAATCTACAGTCAGGAAAAAACACGGCTAATTATTCTCACCGCAAAGGTCGCTTGTGACGCAGAAGCCATTAGAATCTCTGTAGAAGCCATTGTTACATACGCATTTCTTTTTACAAACTTCGTTCATATTATTGGCGCATTTATAAGACACGTTCCGATTTTGACACGTTCTCTCAGGCGGGCACGCCTTAACACATTGAAGCGACTCATTCGGCTTATTACATTGTGGTTCTGTAATGGGCAATTAATCTCACATTTTCTTTTGATTAAAGGTGATAAATAAGTTTACATTCCACCGAGTGGTGTGTGGTGGCTGTGCCCAATATATATTAACATCTATTCTCGATTAAGAGTCAAAATGTAGATACATTATCATTCAATGGTTTACTTTTTCTCTAATATTCCGCTTACCGTGTGCCACTACTGTGTGTAAGGTGCAAGAATATCTACTACCACATATCATCCCGTGGGTGTCGTAAGAGGTGACAGAGGGAAACAAATCAGGACATGGGCAGCAGCGTCTGCCTAATAACGACTAAAATTAAAAAACTACGGTTGCCACCCCGCTTGCCAGATGTGGAAACTATGGCAAATATCCCCCTATCAAGTTATCTATGGAGGAGACCTGTGTTCAGCAATGGACTTTAATATGCTGTTACGGTAACGGTAACCCGCTGATCCTATTAATAATTAACTCAAAAACCCTGGGGATCCAATTAAGTGCGTCATCTGAATCATAATATGCATATATATATATATATATATATATATATATATATATATATATATATATACATATTTGATGTATAGATTCGATACAGATGCGTTGTCACATCTGAGGACTAAGATGGAATGCCTACAGCCTGTATTAATACTGGCGTTTTACACCTTCAGTCCACAACATAGAAAGCGCTGCTATTTCTTGGCAGAACTATGTAAGAGCAGGGTATCTATTCAGTCGGACTTCTATGCAGAAAATAAGTCCTACCACCTGAAAACGGCTTTACATAGAATTTCTTTTTCTTAAATAAAGCACCCAAAGACTAAAGATAGGGAAATATGACAATATCTTCCTGATCTTATGACCTCCTCCTCGATTAATAATCAAAAGAAAGCGTTACTTTTGGTAGGCTGACTTAAGATCGCATTAGCAGACGAAAGCTGACTTTGAAACTGTTGTTCATCGCTGGTCTTGCTATGTTACACCTACCTGGCGCAGAGAAACGGTATTTCCGCCATCAATAGGAAGCTATAAGATGTTCTAGGTTTATCCAATATACGCCTCTTACGACACCTACGGGAAATTTATTTACATATCGATATTATCTTACCACACATTTCGCTTGTCACACAACCTCCTTTGTCGTTCCTATAAAATCCCTCTTTACAAATACATTTATTTTTGCAGACCTCTGTTGCGTTATCAAAGCATTTAAACAGAATGTCACGATTTCGACATGTTTTCGCGGGCGGACATGACTTCACACATTTCAGCTCCTCATTAGGTCCAGTACACATCGTTTTATCTGTAAAATATCCTGTTATCAATATACAAATACAACAATTTACAAATATCAAGCATCTAAATAGAATGTCATGATTTTGACATGTTTTCCTTATTAGGTCGAGTGCACATAGTTTCATCTGTAAAACATACTGTTATTATTACTTTAATTTTCTCCGCGTGGTAAAGGCTAAATAATAATATGTCTTCACATTTCGTTACCTGGCTATTGCACTCAAACCTATGGTCTATAGAAAACATTATCTATGGAATACTACAACGACTTTTTGTAAAGATCCGAACTTACAATCCACTTGATGGTCAGTGGCTTCTACAGCTCATAGATATCTGCAACCAGCTTAGAAAACAAAGCTACAGAACAGACTGTATTTATACAGGCTCTTTATACTCTTCAGTCCAGAATACAGCAAGCGCTGATATCTAGCTGTATAAATAGTATGACTTAATAAATCGACGGGAGAGTCGGCTTTAAAAATAATTTCTTTGTCCTAAATACGACATTCACGGAACAAGATGTGAAAGTATGACTAAGTCTTCCTGATCTTATGACCTGCGATAAGTAATGGATAATTATTAGTGAATTATGGATAATTAAATAATTAGTGTGAAGGGTTAAAAGCCATTCCGTCTTAGCTTTCGGAAGTAGTAACGCATATGTGTATTACGTTCTGTTTTTTAAGTTGATTATACTCGTATTATAAATGGGCTATACGAGCCACTTTTCTAAGATTGTTAGCAAAAACATGAAATATTTTTTAGGAAATAGACCGATTATCAATCAACGCCCTAATACACTATCGAAACAGATTTCTGTATTATCAATTTAACACAGAAAAGCTGACTGATGACGAATTTTGAATAGATCAGTGTTGCCAATGCGCTAATATATATACTCTATCTCTTTTGCATAAGAAAGTAACGCACACGGCAATGGAAGGTGGACCGATCACTGTATGACTCCTACTGCCACACATCAAACTGTTCACAACATTGATATTTTGCTCTCTATTTATTGTTCGGATAATATCCCTTAACTATATATCTATAAAGGTCTCCCTGCGATCTAGCAATTGTGAGGATAAAGATGTGACAAAATATTGTTAGCAATAGTAAAACAATATGGTGTAAAAGGAAACCAGGTATTTGTCGAGACTCTAAAAAAAATAAGACTATAATAAATACCTTGAACGAGGCCAGAGTTATGATATATGAAGGCCATTATTAGGACATGGGAGTAACCATTAGTAGAAAACCAGTAAGTACTCTATTTATCAAATGGGTTACTTATGTGGCAAACCTAATAAATTGTATTGTGTACGATAGTGTGTGTGAGAGCAGGTGTCGCTTTAAACGTGAAGTTAAAATTATGACAGAATCGGAAAGAGCAAATAAGAATGGCCATATTAACTTCTTTCTCAAAGTTGTAAGTCTTTATGACCAAACATCTTACAGAAATTCTTAAATAAATCAAGCTCGCGGTCTGAACTTTCTAAAAGCATTGGCCACACTAGTGAGGCAAAATATGTTCCCTTAGTACCCATAAATGATTTAACTATACATAAGAAACTTCCGACATAAACAGTTCGCTTCACACCTAAAAGGCGGGGGGGGGGGGGGGGCAAGGATTATGAATATAAAAAGGTGGAGATTTCTTGGTCCATTTTCATTTTCTTGGGGTGTTGGGGTTGTTATTTTCACTTTGCCAGTGACATAGATATCTGCCAAATAATATAATGAGATAATATATTGTGTCAAATCTCAAAAATAAAACTGGTAAAAACTATGGGCCCATATAATAAAGCTACTATATTAGCAAAGACACTAGGCAATTTATTTGATGCGTAGTTAAGAAAGCATTTGCAACTGCATAATGCCCAACTTGATTTCGGGACCGAACTTTCAATAGAGAGTGCCATATTGTCCCTTAAGCGAATCGTCGAGTACCACACGGACAGATATACGCATGTGTATGCTTGTATTTTAGAAACATCAAAAGACTTTGATATGGTATACTATGAAATTTTGTGGAGTAATTTGAGGAAAACCAAGATGTCTGCTGAGCTTGTTGCGGTGTTGGAGTATCAGTACAGCAATGAAACAAGTAAATACAAGTGCGAAAACGCGTTTTTGATCCTTACGGGCTAGAATATTGGGTGTTCAGCCTGTACGTTAATGGTTTAGTCGGCGAGTTGAGCTGCACATGATAATTTGTAGATGGAGTTTGCCTAAATAATATAAGTTACGCATATGATATAGGTCTGCTCACCCCGTGTGTTAGTACTCTTAAAAAATGTAATCTAGGATTATGTAAGACATCTGGTTTTCAGAGCTGGAATAATGTTCAAAACTGCGTGCACCTGTTTGACTAATAGCATTACCCCAGCCAGAGTAAAGAAGTATAAATATCTAGGCCACTACATTCCTGGTAATTGTAAAGATGGCATGGAACCACGAAAGGAAGCGTAGGGCACTATCGATCTGTGGAAATGTGTTCATTCGTAGATTTGCACGGTGCAAGTACGAAGTAAAGGTCATAATCTTGAAAACCTACTGCGAATCCTTTTACGTATTCAGCTTATGGACGACATATACAAACCACACTTACAATAATCTTCATATTTTATATTGTAATATTGTCAGTGGCTTCTAGTGCTGTCTCTCTTTTAGAGCGCATCAGGTATGCTTGCGGAGGAATAAACACATGATTTCCTTGCAATAATTCGTTCAAGAGTGTACTCCCGGTTGAGGAGAATGCACGGCAGCCGCAACAGTATTCTGAACATGTTCGATAAAGGATAAGGACGGATATATGCTGAGTCACTTGGATGGTGATTAAAAAGTGTATATTATACGTACATATTGGAACAAACACTAATATTTAAGGTATTTCAAATATTACTAACAATTAATATGGATCTAGGGCTGTAGGAAAAGTATTGTTGTTATAAAAAGCTGTAGTACTAATTTTAATACCGCCACGTATCTTTTAACAGCGAACCCGTTTTTCCAGCATGTTCATTAAAAAAATATTTACCTATTCATCATCCTCATGCCACTAGTCTAAATCTACAAAGAGTGTGACCGCAACACAAACTAATCAAGTTTATTTTATTATTAGGTTTATCGTTTTCATTTTAAAAAAACTTACTGGAATCAGGTGAAGTTTTAAATTCGGGATATTGATCCGCCGGTATGCAGGTTGAATTTGAATCCCTTCTCAAGAATCCGAGTTTACACAAACATCCCGGCTGACCCTGCTCTTTTGAATCACATTTATACAACGCCAGGGTAGATTGGCAGGTTTGAGGCGGGCAAGACTTTATATTAGGTACGTACATTTCATTGGGACCGCTGCATTTTTTATAAGGAAAATTCAAAAAAATTTTACGATGTCACTGAACATTTGGAGTTCTAAAAACCAACAACAGATGAACGACGACCTGGTAAGATATGGTGGAATTCAATGAATGCATATGGCCCAGAAATGTATTTTATGACATTTATAGGAAACAAAACACGGTTCTGAAGTCCGAAGCCACCTCCATTCATTAATTACCTGAATGTCTCATCAGATCGAACGTCCGAGCTTCTGATGTTCACGCTTTAAATAAAACATAATATCCTACTTTTTACAACTAAAAATAAAAAAAATGTGTGCAGCTTACACGCGACATAAGTTAAACCTTCCGAAAATACGAGTAAAATTAATTTTGCAATAGCGCCATCTATTTCATTCTATATGTAAAGTCATTTTATCGAACAAAAATTGATTGGCTCTTAAGGTGATAAGTAAAATGGCCGGTAGATGACCGTAACACCGTTAATTTAGAATAAATTGGTAAATTATTTAATTATGGATTATTATTAATGGATTGGATGTATTAATTTTATTTCAATATTGTTAATATTATCTATTTAAAAAGTTATAATAACTATCTTTAAAGCACCGCTCAGAGAGCAGACCGAGATAATAGAACGCATCATACTGTATTCTATCTCATTCTCTTGCGGGCTGAATCCTATAGATGTATATATTTATCTTTTTACTTTTTAGTGTCGCGTTTTCGTTTCATCGATTTTCAAATAACACATAATACACAAACACTCACGCCTGTCACCCAGAGGGGTAGGCAGAGACTACGGACTTCCATTTGGCACGATCCTGACATACCTCTTTCGCCTCCTTTACATCCATATATCTACGCATACATGCTCGTCGGTTAAGGGTACTTCTAACGTGGCCCATTTTCAAAATATCGCCAATTTGGTCGATAAACTTTTTCCTAGGGCGTCCCTTCCCGACTCGGCCATTCACATCTGCCATATAAATTTGCTTTGTCACTCTTTCCTTATTCATTCTTTCTACGTGACCAAACCACCGAAGCATTCCTTTCTTAATCCTGGTCACAACATCATCTTGCATACCACATTTATCTCTTATCACGCAATTTCTCACCCTGTCATTCAGATTACACCCTAGCATATTCCTTAAAGACCGCATTTCTACAGCATTTATTCTACTTTCGTGCTTCTTCTGCCACACCTAGCTTTCACTACCATACATTAAAGTAGGGACTAACACAGCATTATGAATTACCATACGTGCCTGTTTTGACAAATTCTGGTTCTTCATAATAGAGTGTAGTGCCCCATTCACTCTATTCCCTGCATTTACTCGTCGTTCTATATCCCTATCATATCTACCATCCCTGCTAAATACACATCCCAAATACACAAACTCATCCACTTGCTCAATCAACTCTCCTTCTATTCTTATTTCACATACCGTTTTGCTTTCTTCTCTTTCAAAAACCATGACTTTCGTCTTACTTGTGTTCACTTTCATTCCCCTTTCTTTTAATTCCCAGTTCATTAATGTAACCATCATTTGCAACTCTGCCGCCGATGACGCAAGTATGACTTGATCATCGGCATACAAAAGGCATTTGACGGTTAACTCGCCCATTCTTAACCCACATTCTTCATCTTTCAAAATTTGCAAACACCGGTCCATAAATAGGTTGAACAGCCAAGGGGAAGCCACACAGCCCTGTCTGATACCTTTTTGGATGCCAAACCAGTCCGAGTAGACCCCATTGATCCTGACACAAGCACTAGAGTCCCTATAAAGAGACCTTAATGCCTGTATCAAACCAGCGCTCAACCCATATGAGTTCAGTGTTTGCCATAACACATTCCTGTCCACTCTGTCATAAGCCTTTTCCAAGTCCATGAACGCACAAAAAACTTTCTGGTTTTTGGCCAAAAACTTCTCCGCAATCATGCGCATGGAAAAGACTTGATCTGTACACCCCATTACCTTTCTAAAACCCGCTTGCACATCCCAAATTTTTTTTTTTCAAATAACAACGATTCTAAAAAAGTTCTCACTTCAATAAAATAATATGCCCATAATAAACTTATTACACACCTTACCCTTTTACCCATCTTAGTTGATTCATAATAACTTGCTGTACCCATATCACTAAATACAAAAAAGTACAACACTATCCAGAATTGACTTGCTAATCTTTAGCAAGGTCATATTAACACGTTAATTTCCTTTTAAGCTAAAGAGATCATCCGTATTGGTTCCATTATCTTAACAACTCCTGAAGGCACACGAGCGTTTCCTTCATCCTCGTCCTCGGGCTATCAATGATTTAGTAGCATTCAATGTCGGATGTTGGTTGACGATGCTATACGCAGCAGCTAACATACCATCAAGTAGACTATTTGTTACTATAATTTTATAAAAATAAATCTACAGTATAGTTTTTTTCTATTTATATTATTACGAAAACCCCAGAGCTAGACATGGGCGTATCCCAAGGTGACCGCCTTTGACGCTGCTGTCCGTCGCTGGTCAGGGTTTTTTTACACCAGGCGAAAAATGATTATTCCACGATGTATCATATCAGACGTAATAAGATCTCTTAGGCTTATCCTACTGTCCCTTACGACACCCACGGGAAGAAATCGGGTGATAGATTTACACTACCATCACACGGCAGTTGGATTGATGCTCGCACGTCTGGTGCCGTCTTGTACCTTTGAAGCTTCAGTATTGAGTATACACGACTGAACATTTTCACCGCAATGGTCCGTGGCGTTGTATAATTTAGAGTCAGAAGACAACACGACTAAATATTCTCAACACAAAGGTTCGTCGCCGTAGCAGAATGTACCGTCGGAAAAAACATGACTAAGTATACTCACCGCAAAGTTCGCTCGTGACGCATAAGCCATTAGAATCTCTGAAGAAGCGATCGTTACAAACACATTTATTTTCACAAACTTCGTTCATATTATTGGCGCATTTATAAAACACGTTCCGATTTTGACATGTTCTCTCAGGCGGGCAGGCCTTAACACATTGAAGCGACTCATTCGGCTTAGTACAATTTGGTTCTGTAATGAACAATAAATCTCACATTTGCTATGGAATAAAGTTGATTTTTTTATAGTTTAGAGACTTACAGTATTTTTAACATGTCAGTTCCGTTGTACCTTATAACTAAATAACACAATACAATTTATTAAATTACTTACACAAAATACTAACTGAATTATACACCATGTGAGCAGCATTTGACAGTGGTTCGGAGAGAATGCTTTGATATTCACCTATGTTACATATTGTAATGTCAGTTTTGGGGACTAGTAGTTTCCTTTAGTGATGGTTTTTGGAACATTTATTGTAAAGTTGTCGAGCAAGTATTGTACATCTTATATTGTCTTGCATATTTCACAATTAGGAGATAGTTTCTTTTTCATCATAAAAGCAAACTTGTTACACGGAATATGTCCGGAACGAAGTCGCATTACTAATACAACATATTTTCTATGCAATAGACATTGATTAAACCAAAGCACTTTCGAAGGCTGCCTTTGGATAATTTTGTACCATATCCCTTTTTCTTGGGACCCTTTATCAAAATATTATTTATTATTAAATATTTATTTATTTATATATCCTGGCAATCGCACAAAACAATCTAACTTAATGTAATATGTATTACTTGTGAGATACATTGTGTTTTCATGCGATGGCCAAGTCAATCTATTTATTTAAACTTAAATGATTTTAACATGTTTATGTTCATCCGAAATATTTAACATTTAATTCATTAATTACACTCGATTTTAAAGTATTTATCTCCTGACAACTTTTAGCACACTTGAAACAATTTAAGCCCTGCTTAATTACGGTTGTCACTCCAACTATTCAACACACATAATTCCCGTAGGTATACTGTGAGCACGTGGTCCTTCTCCAGTCGAGCCAATACATCCCTGCTCAAACATAATAAACTTGCGGAGTGGCTCATTAACATAATTCACGTATCGTACAAAATGTACAGAGCTCGTCTAGAAATTAAAGTTACAGCGTTATATACATCCCATCCTGAAATCAATCCTACTCTTAGTTCCGAGAGGATCATGGAGCAATTTGTCTGCGGCGCTGCCCAACTAAGTGTTGGCGGACACATTTCTCAAAATATTTTAAAACTTATAAAATACACCATGCAACACCACCCACAGTATAAGATAGAACGATAGATTAGTTAATATCGCCACTCGAAAAACCACAGATTTTAATAATAATCGGGGTTACCAATACAAAATGCAAATTGCCTGATAAAAGGTTATGCGGAGAGTAAATTTACTGTGGTAAACATAAAAACATGATTTTAATTCACTGGAGCCTATCGTTTACAATAGCACAATTATTCCTCTTAGTCTTTTTAACTACTTAAAGACCTTGGGTTAATGAATCATGCTAATTTAAGTTGGCAATCTCAGGTGGCTGAAATAAGCCGGAGAGTGACAATCACCCTGCGTGGCCTTTATCGTTTCAAGAATTTCCTTCCAACCGAGACTAAGGCTATGTTGGTGCGAGCGCTTGTTTTACCACTCATTGATTGTGCTGATGTGTGTTACTCTAATGTGAGTCAACTACTTCTGTGCAAATTGGACCGTTTATTAAATAATTGCACCCGTTTAATTTTTGGCCTTCGTAAATACGATCATGTATCCATATATCGTTCTAAGCTTAAATGGCTCCCTATCCATCAGCGTAGATTTATCAAAATTCTTCGCACGCTTTTTTCAATCCTATATGATCCATGCACTCCCCAATACCTGAAATGCAAGTGTCAGTATTTGGGTTCTTCTCACGATCGTAACCTGCGATCCTCCGAGGTAACTACATTATGTGTTTTTCCTCGCCGTACCAAATTTATGTCTCAGTCTTTCGCCGCTGAGGCCATAAGACTATGGAATAAATTACCCCCTCATATCAGAAAACCGACTTCTGTTGCTACATTTAAGAGGATGGTGACTGATCACTACCTTTCTTCTTCCAGCAAGTAACTTTCATATTTAATTGTTTCTGCTTATATGTGACTTGACATTTTAAATTATTTAATTTGTTTTAGTTATGTTCGTATGTAAGTATACTTAAAATGTATGTATTATGTACTATTTAAACATTATGTATGAAATGTATCATATATTACTTAGGTTAATTGTAGTTGTGTATATTCATTTTTGTATTTACACTTATGGTATGTCTATTTATATATTTACATTTACGTATAAATTATCCACATATTTTATGGCACCTGCTAAAGTTCTCTGCTTAGCTCATGGTTGACTGGTAGAGAATGCCTAAAAGCATTAAGTCCGCCAATTGTACATTTTAAGTGCAATAAAGTTTTTTAAATAAAAAAAAATAAATGTCTTCACATACGAGAGAATGTGTTGGGTTTTTATCGCGTTTAATTATAATTTATTATTAATTTCTGGTTATTCGAATTTTCGTTAAGAGACCCTGGTTACGCGGGATTTCTTTAATAATCAGTGCTATTTCAATTTAATATTGTTAACCAATAAAAAAAATACAAAAAAAATTTTACGTGGTAGAGCCATGCTGCAGTTATATTAGTAGTATAGTTGTAGCACGAATGGGTCGGCTCGACCGGGGGAAGGACCACGCTCTCACAGAATACCAGCGTGAAATAGTAGCTTAATGCTGCTGTATTTCGTATGGTGAGTGTAGAGAACCGGAGACCCTTTTTACTGGAAACGAGGCATTCCATCTCAGTCCTCACGGGTGACAACGCATCTGCATTTTGATTTTTAATGGAGGATAGATGTAGATGTCTATGGGCCGCAGCAACCACTTACCATCAGGTGGACTGTGTGCTCGTTTGTCACCCTATTCTATAAAAAAAAAACAATGAATAGGTTCCAACAAAAATACCAAACACTAGACAAGAGACAAAAATATTGATCAGTTCTGTAATAACCCGAACACCTGGTAAGCTTCGTGTCTGGTCCAGGTGTCCAGTTGTCACACTGTTAGCGCATTATCTTTGAGTAATGCCGCCATATAGGTACAGAGGTAGAGAATCCACTCACACATATAACCACAGGGAAATTATACAGAAGTTAAGCAGCAGCATATTCATGATAACTCAAGTTATAAAAATCTGTGCTTGTCAGCCCGAATTGCAAGCGTGACCACTGCGACAAATATACCCTTTATGAGGCAATCTACGTGGGAGGCCTCAGATCAGCAGCGAACTTTCGATATGTAGTAATGAATGAATGAATAAATGAATATTCAAGTACTTACGTTTTCTCTAATATTCCGCTTACCCTATTAAGAATTATGCTACACAGTACTTACGTGAGTTAATTAGTTCAGGACACTGCTTTATCGGCATACACGTGGATGTCAGATTCATTCTCAGAAAACCCGTTTTGCAAACGCAACCTGGCTGACCCTGTTCCTTAGGATCACAAGCGTATCTTGATACAATGAAACGGCATATTTCAGGGGGACATTTCTTTTTATTTGGTGTGTACATTTCATTGGGTCCCGTGCATTTCTTGTCTACAAAAAAGTACTAACTTACATAACACTGGTACTGGGACGAGGATTTTAACATGGGAAAAGTCTGCGCTGCTCTAATGAATCTATCATTAAAAAAATCTCAAAGATGCAGATATTCCTACGATTTTTTCTTTCACTGTTAAACAAATGATAAATCAACGCTAATAAAGTTGCGATTAAGAATTTCAGTTGTGCAGGCGGAGAAAATAAAACAAGTCTCCACCTGATACAGTTTTTACCGAAGGTGGTTATAAATTACGGCTAATCCTCGAGCGAACAATTCATGGACTAATATCCAAATAAATAGATTAGTAACATGTGTAGCCCTTGTGCTCGTAGTTCCGGCCAGAGTGAACGAGCGTGCGATCGCTCCGTACAAGCATACAGATTAATCGTACTCGTATCAATCGAACTCGTTACATCAATGTCAAATGTTGCAATTTTAGACGCTACGCCTCTATTGTCTGGTGTAACAAGTCCAACCAAAAGACGACTGCGGACAGACTAAATAGTCTACAAAGGACTGCCTGCTTAATGGCAACTGGAGCTATGCGATCATCGCCTGGAGCGGCTCTTAATGCACTTCTATGCCTAGCGTCCCTTGATCTGTATCTAGACAAGGAAGCGAGGGCTAGTTTGTATAGGATTAACGCCCAGGGCGTTCTGAGCTTACTCTCCTACAGATTAAGAACCATGCTCGACTCAATTAAGGAATCACCCGTCTTATGCATGATCTCAGACATCAGGCGTCCACTACACACTTTTGATAAAAAAGATGTATATAAGGAAAAAGGGGAGTGAATGGCAATAGAAAAAAAAAAAACAAGAAATTGAAAGAATTACCCTTTAGAGAAGACTGGCCGGACGGCCAGGTTATCTGTGAGGTCGATAGCCTCATATGGTATACCGATGGGTCTAAAATGTCCTCGACGTATGCTTTGGAATTTACGAGGAACGCCCCAAATTCAAACTTAATATGAATTTGGTTATATACACCTCTATCTTCCAGGCAGAAATTTTCGCCATACTTCGGTGTGCGGAAATCAATCTGCAAAAACACTACGTCAACTATATAATTTATATAAACTCTGTTAGTCAAGTAGCACTGCTAGCGGTGAGGTCAAACGTAGTGAACTCGAAGCTAGTTTTACGGCGTTCTATAATCTACTGTCGATAAAAAACGACGAAATATTCTCATTACAAGGGTCCGTCGTTCTTGTAAATCTACAGTCAGGAAAAAACATGGCTAATTATTCTCACCGCAAAGATCGCTTGTGACGCAGAAGCCATTAGAATCTCTGTAGAAGCCATTGTTACAAACGCATTTCTTTTTACAAACTTCGTTCATAATATAGGCGCATTTATAAGACACGTTCCGATTTTGACATGTTCTCTCAGGCGGGCAGGCCTTAACACATTGAAGCGACTCATTCGGCTTATTACATTCTGGTTCTGTAATGGATATAAATTATAATATCATTAAAAATATAATATATATATACAATATTATTAAATATAATTTATTAATAAATCTCACATTTTCTTTTGAATAAAGGTGATAAATAAGTACACATTACACCTAGTTGTGTGTGGTGGCTGTGCCCAATAGATATATATCTGTTCTCGATTAAGAGTCCAATTGCAGATGCATTATCATTTAACGGTTTACTTTTTCTCTAATATTGCGCTGACCGTGTGCCACCACTGTGTGTAAGGTGTAAGAATATCTACTGCCACACGGAGGAGGAGGCCTATGTTCATCAGTGGACTTTAATAGGTTGTTAGGGTAACTGTAACCCGCTTATCTTATTAATAATTATACTAACAAAAACCCTGGGGATCCAATTAAGTGCGTTATCAGAATCGTATATCATATATATATATATATATATATATATATATATATATATATATATATATATATATAAATTTATATTTAGATACGACACAGATGCGTTGTCACATCTGAGGACTAAGATGGAATGCCTACAGCCTGTATTTATACTGGCGTTTTACACCTTCAGTCCACAACATAGAGAGCGCTGCTATTTGTTGGCAGAACTAGATAAGAGCGGGGTATCTATTCAGTCACACTACTATACAGAAAATAAGTCCTACCACCTGAAAACGGCTTTAGGTAGAATTTCTTTTTCTTAAATAAAGCACCCAAAGATAGGGAAATATGACAATATCTTCCTGATCTTATGACCACCGTTAAATGAGAGACAGCCATCAAATCCATGACTCGATTTAAATACACCGTCTTAAAGGATAAATAGCGTGATAAAATGTTCATATTGTAGCATACAATGTTCTAGTTTTAGGTGTCCCACGAGAAGAAATAGGATGATGGATACTCTAACGTTGCCAACACAAGGCGGATTATTCATGGCAGTACCAGACGTCTCCTTATCCTTGATGCTTTAGTATTTAATTAGTAAGCAAACCCGTCGCTAAAAAGTTTTAAACAATTAACCATTTTTTTATAGAATAAGGGTAACAAACGAGCACATGGTCCACCTGATGGTAAGTGGATGCTGTGGCCCATAAACATCTATATTTATCCTCGATTAAGAATTAAAACGCAGATGCGTTGACAACCCTGACGACTAAGATGGAATAGCTCGTTTCCAGTAAAAAGTGTCTCCGGATCTCTACACTCACCATGCGAAACACAGCAGTATTAAGCTGCTATTTCACGCTGGTATTCTGTGAGATCGTGGTCCTTCCCCGGTCGAGCCGACCCATTCGTGCTACAACCATAATATAGCTGCAGCGTGGCTCTACCACGTATAACAACCTTGGCGAGGAAATATAACCATTTATCGTTTTATAAAACTGAAACATATTTGATAGTCAAAAAAATAAAATAACTATTTCATATTTCTAGTCTTTTATTTATTTTATCATTTCATAAAACCTAACACGTTCGCTCGATGACACAGACATACGATGGTCGCGCGTTGGGCAAAGCGTCCTCAACTCCCGATACGCGTGCTGAAGGTATATCTATGCTTGCAGCTAACGTCTCGGATTATTATTAAAGTTATGTATGTATATTTTATTTATTTATGTTTTATTTATGTATATTATGTTATGTAGGCTATTATACTCGTAGCGTAGATATTTTCGTTTTTGTATGGGAGAGATGTATTTGTTACGTAGTAACATTATTTTATCTGTGACAAAGCCTTACATAGAGTAAGGATTTTTAACAATTGATTTATTAGCAGTGGATGATACTTACCATTGCACTGTTCGAAAGGAACACAAACATTGTTCCTTCGCCAATAATTTTTAATACATCGGCACTGCGGCCGGCACGGCACTACAATACCGATGCGACCGATTATTGGACATTTTCCGGAAGGCGTTGCTTGGCTGCAGTCATCAGTAGGGCAGTACGGCGGACAAGCGACAAACATTTCGTTACGGCCACAAGGAAAAGGTGCTAGGTAAAAAAATTGCATTATTAATATTATATATGATAAAAAATAAAAATGAATAAATAATATTTAGAATAGATAAATAATAATAAATATATTGATTCACAGTTGCAGATTTAAAATTATGATTGAATATGAAGTAAGCGTAACACAAAAATTATTCTAGAAGTATAATATGTTGATTCAATCCGCTCTCTCAAGCCTATAATCAGTTTTTTATAAACTTTTACATATAAAATTCAACAGCTGTCCGTTAGTCTCGTTTAAACTCAAAAACGGACGGACCGATTTTAATTACATTTTGTGTGTGGCGGTAGGGGGCGCTGTTGTCGAGATTCGAGTTTTTCAATGAAATCGATGTATCCATTTTTAATTTAACTTGTATCAAGAAGTTAACGAAGTAAGTATTACATATGTACTTACTTCTTTAATAATCATTAATTACTAATTATTTACTTTAAAAAAGTTGCGTTGTAAATTAATTAATAATTTTTGGTACGAAAGTTTCTTTTTAAAATTGTTTAAAGGATTGATATCATTTTTGATTGTGCGATAGTAATAATATGGAAATTTTTATATTTACGGCATTGTTCTGTAGGGATGCAAGTCCCGTTTTTAGCGCGGCTGTAATTAAAACGGCATTCGCAGCGTGGAGGAAGCTTAATATCCCGTGAAATGGAAGCTGGGCAAGGCCTTATGATGGACTCTCTACTTTCAGGACAGAACTGATTGCTGCATGGCGAAGGATTTTCTACAAGTACTTCGTTAATTCCACATTTCAAACTATCTGTAAATATGTACAATATTTTTTTATAGAAACATTAATAGGCATAGTCCGTTTTACTGGTGATGGAGATTTGATGAAGATGTTCTTAAAACTGAACTTATAACTGTGGTAGACCCATGTTGGCGGCTATATTATTTTTGCAGCACGAATGGAATGGCTTGACCGGGGAAAGACCAGGATCACACTAAATACCAACGTAAAATAACATTATCTAATGCTGCTGTGTTTTGCATGGTCAGTGTAGCGAATCGGAGACTCTTTTTACTGTTAACGAGAAATTCTAACTTCGTCCTCAGGGGTGATAACACGTGTTCATTTTTATTTTTAATTGAGAATAAACGTAGTTGTCTGTGGACCACAGCATCCACTTACCATTATTTAGACTGTATGTTCGTTTATCATCCTTATACTATGGTACGTGAGACTAATATGGTCAATCGATTAATATGGTCACTTTCTTGTAACTCAAAAACTACAGCCTTGTTTGCATAGGTGGCTTTGTGAAACGATAGCTCTTTATCGGTCAATCAAATAATAAGGGGTCAAAAAGGCACTGCTTTACCAACGCCATTTTGACAGTTGACATTATAGTAAATATTTTAGTCGATTTTAGTATGGTGAAGTGTAGTTAGTACTTTTAAAAAGATTTTTCGAAGTGTTCCTAATTATTGCCAAAGCTTATTTGCTATTTTTTCTTAATATGTTAGTTAAAGTATACGGCTTCGTATTTTTGTCTCTATACTTCTTCTAGTTTTGGTTTTATAGGGCGGCAAAGCTTAAGGTGACCGTATTACCCTCACGTACCTTATAAAAAGAAACTTTATAAATCAGCAGTGCATCGACTGTCTTATTCTTTACGTCTTTGAAAACCTTTAACACTTAGCGTCTATACTTTCTTACAGTGAAAACAGTTTCAGCAAATATTGCAACTGAAAAACACAAATTTTACAAATCAAACTTACGAGTATCTTAGAAATCGATTTTTGTTCGTCGAATTTTTTTTAAAATAATACCGCTATCGATAAAGCCGTTTAAAATCCACTGCTGAACATAAACCTCCCCCATAGATTGCACCGTAGGGGGGATTTTTTCCATAGTTGCTACGCTTGACAAGCAGTTTAGCAACCGCAGATTTTTTTATTTGTTATTAAGAAGACACTGCTGCCCATCTCCTAATATATATATATATATATATATATATATATATATATATATATATATATATATATACAAAATATATTGCACATATTAACAAAACTAAATTTTCCTTTGTCTGAAATTTTAAAAATTCAAAAATTCAAAATTCAAAAATGTTTATTCTTTAACAAAATTAACAATCATAGCAGTATATTAGAGTTCTCCTTTTAAGTATTTTTAAATACTTGTGACAGGAAAAACTCGCTCTTCCTTAATTAACATACAATACTTTAGTTACAAGAATAGCATAATATTCCTTTCCTGAAATAATTTATTATGAAAAAATATGAAGATGTATGCGCGTGCGTGTGTATGTGTGTGTGTGTGTGTGTGTGTGTGTGTGTGTGTGTGTGTGTGTGTGTGTGTGTGTGTTTTGTAAGTCGTGTTATTTTAACAAATTTTCTATTTCGTGATAGTCTTTTCGTTTGAGCCATTCAATGAGAATTACCTTACATTCTTTACTGGTTTTAGAATAAATATTCAATTCTTTATTTAAGCAGTTATATAAATAAGATGACTTTTTAGCCTGTTGCCGTCTAGCAAATGCTGTTTTAACCGGATCACTTGGAGCTACGTTAGTTTTCCTCCTTTTATTTTCAATTTCAGCGTTATATGCAAGGGACTTGTGTACCTTAAAAACTATATTTAGTATGTATAACTTACGAACTGTAAGATCACATATTGTGTATAAATCTTGTGTTGGGAATTTGTAAGGTTTAAAATTCATAACCTTCAGTAATGATCTCTAAACTCTTTCTAAATCTAAAAACTTTGTTTTTGTAGCACCTCCCCATATACTAATACAATATACAAGAACTGATTGAACTTAAGAAATATATACTTGTTTTAATATAGGTGGTGTTGCGAGATGTCTCAAAATTTATAAAAACCATATGAATTTTCTAATCCTAGTCATTAACAATTCAATATGTAGATGCCAAGATAATCGCTGATCCAATAGTATTCCAAGATATTTTGTGCTTGATCCTTTGTTTATGTGAGGGCATGGGCAGTTAGAGTTATTAAGGTCAACACAATAATGAATTTTAATATTAAAATTAGGTTGAGTCCTATTGTAGTTAGTAAAACATATATAGTTAGTCTTAGATGTATTGATAGTCAATAAATGTAGTCTCAACCATTCTGCAACCTTGGCTAACCCCACTTCAGCGCTATGCCGGACATCTTCCCAGCTTCGACCACAGAATGCCAGAGCAGTGTCATCTGCATACGAGAATACGTACCCATTTTGTAGCGATATATTACATAGGGAGTTTACGTAAACCAAAAATAAAGTCGCACTCAGTACACTCCCCTGTGGGACGCCGTAGGTAATGGTAGAATCATGACTACAATGCTCTCCTATTTTGACTCGTTGTCTACGGTTTGTTAAGGAATCTTTAAATAAATCTAGGGGTTTACCTCTAATACCTATTTGTTCAAGTTTCTTTACAAGAGTGGGGACAGATACGCTATCAAAGGCGTTTTTATGTCGAGAAAAACTGTTAAACATTTATTTCCTTTGTCGACTTGGTCAACAATGAGTGAAGTTAGACCTGAAATAGCGTCTTCTGTGCAAAGACCTCGTCTAAAGGCAAATTGTTATATTGAGAGTATTTTGTATTTATTTAAATAATTAGTCAAACGATTATTTAACAATGTTTCAAAAATTTTGGATATTGCGGGAAGAACAGATATAGGTCTGTAGTTACTTGGATCGCTTCTGTCTCCACCCTTATATACAGGAGTAACTAATGCCAACTTCAGAGCAGTAGGAAAAACGCCATCCCTAAAGCAAAGATTAACCAGGTGTGTTATTATGGGTACTAATATTACATTCGCATGTTTTAGAAAATTGGTGGTGATATTGTCATATCCAGGGGCACTCTCTGTTTTAAGATTCATTAAGATATTTCTAACCTCCGAATCATCAGTCTCCAGCAGAGCAAAAGATGAAGCATGGGAGCTTACTGTTTTATCCGTAGAGAAAAAATTAATAGAGTTAGGTTTTGATAGAATATCCTCCGCTAGGGATTTCCCAACATTGGCAAAGTAACCATTAACCAAGTTAACGGATTCAAGGGGGGGTCGATTCTATTTTCAACAACTCTATATTTTTGTCTAGTGACTGCTTGCGATGTGTGATATCATTTATTGCTTTCCAGAGCATCTTAGGGTTTCCGGTGGCATTAATTATCTGTTGTCACTCAAATTTGCGCTTAAGTTTTTTAATTAAATTGTTGCAGAGATTTCTGTAGCGCTTATACGTGATTCTCAACACTTCATTTTCTGGATCAGATTTTAATTTTAGTTGCATATTATTACGGTTCCTAATGCATCGTAGGACACCTTGAGTCATCCAGGGTTTTACCGTGCGACTTGTTTTGGGGACCAATTTCATAGAGGTATTTTCTTGAATATGTGTCTGGATTTTATATATCAATAATTCGGTTAAAATGTTAGAGTCATTGCATAGAAGCAGTTCTTGTAAGTTTGTGTTTTTAAGGCTATTAATAGCATTGAAATAATACTACTTTTTACGGAATGTATCGCGTATATTTAACTTTTTAAATGCCCGACGTTTCAAATGCTTTACAGCACTCATGGTCACGGGCAGGACTGAGATGTTCAACGTCCATATGTCATAGTTAATCGCGGTTACCACAGATTAAAATTTAACTTTTGTTCCGATCTATGCAATATGAACTTATGGTATCTTGAAGTCTTGAAGTTGTATGCTTGGGTTGGGATTTAATTTTATTTAATTTATAATCCCAAGCAGATGGTAGCACCCAGCCATCTTCTCTATTGAAATTAGGATGTTTTTTGATTTCAATAGCCTCGCGAATCTTCCTTGGAAGGAATCGGTGTTCTTTAGCGAGGATCTGCGGTCTATCAAATCTGATGTAGTGACGGGAGCGATCCTGTACGTGTTCACAGACTGCAGACTTCCCGGAGCGCCGATTCTTCACATCAGCTATATGTTCTTTAACGCGGGTTTTTATTGATCTTTTAGTTTGTCCTATGTAGGAGAGACCACATTCACAATCAAGCTTGTACACTCCTGCATCTTGCAGAGGAACATTACACTTGACCGATGGTAAAAACTGACCAATCTTCTTCAGCGACTTGAAGTATGTTTTGATGGAAGCGCGCTTCAAGATGTAGCCAATCTTGTCAGTGACTCCTCTAACATATGGCAGTACAGCAGGTACACGCTCGACTGTGGCCGGCTTCACTCGTTCACTGTGACGTAGGCGCGGGACTCGAAGCTTGTTGTCATGCAAAACTTGCTTGACATGGTGGAGCTCTGCAGCCAGATGTTTACTGTCACAGATCCCTCGTGCTCTCTGAAACAAAGATTTACCCACGGTAGCTAACTGTGAAGGATGGTGGTGAGAATCACCGTTTAAATATCTATCTGTACGGGTCTTTTTTCTATACACAGTATGGCTCAAGGTGTTATCAGGATTCCGAATTACTAACACATCTAGAAAAGCTAAGGAATTGTTTGCCTCTAACTCCATTGTGAACTGAATTTTAGAATTTATAGAGTTAAGATGGTATAAAAATGCAGTTACTTTATCTAAAGGTAGAATTGTGAAAGTGTCGTCTACGTACCGCTTGTAGAACCTTGGATTTATGGGGGAAAAAAGCAGGGCTTTTTTTCTACCATACTTCCAAGGTTCTACAAGCGGTACGTAGACGACACTTTCACAATTCTACCTTTAGATAAAGTAACTGCATTTTTAGACCATCTTAACTCTATAAATTCTAAAATTCAGTTCACAATGGAGTTAGAAGCAAACAATTCCTTAGCTTTTCTAGATGTGTTAGTAATTCGGAATCCTGATAACACTTTGAGCCATACTGTGTATAGAAAAAAGACCCGTACAGATAGATATTTAAACGGTGATTCTCACCACCATCCTTCACAGTTAGCTACCGTGGGTAAATCTTTGTTTCAGAGAGCACGAGGGATCTGTGACAGTAAACACCTGGCTGCAGAGCTCCACCATGTCAAGCAAGTTTTGCATGACAACAAGCTTCGAGTCCCGCGCCTACGTCACAGTGAACGAGTGAAGCCGGCCACAGTCGAGCGTGTACCTGCTGTACTGCCATATGTTAGAGGAGTCACTGACAAGATTGGCTACATCTTGAAGCGCGCTTCCATCAAAACATACTTCAAGTCGCTGAAGAAGATTGGTCAGTTTTTACCATCGGTCAAGTGTAATGTCCCTCTGCAAGATGCAGGAGTGTACAAGCTTGATTGTGAATGTGGTCTCTCCTACATAGGACAAACTAAAAGATCAATAGAAACCCGCGTTAAAGAACATATAGCTGATATGAAGAATCGACGCTGCGGGAAGTCTGCAGTCTGTGAACACGTACAGGATCGCCCCCGTCACTACGTCAGATTTGATAGACCGCAGATCCTCGCTAAAGAACACCGATTCCTTCCAAGGATGATTCGCGAGGCTATTGAAATCAAAAAACATCCTAATTTCAATAGATAAGATGGCTGGGTGCTACCATCTGCTTGGGATCCTATAATAAATAAAATTAAATCCCAACCCAAGCATACAACTGTAAGACTTCAAGATACCATAAGTTCATACTGCATAGATCGGAACAAAAGTTAAATTTTAATCTATGGTAACCGCGGTTAACTATGACATATGGACGTTGAACATCTCAGTCCTGCCCGTGACCATGAGTGCTGTAAAGCATTCGAAACGTCGGGTATTTAAAAAGTTAAATATACGCGATAAATTCCGTAAAAACTAGTATTATTTCAATGTGTAGTGTTCGCGTAAATATAAGAAATCATTCTATTAATAGCATTTTCATAATTGACTGACCTTTTGAATTTATTACTAAATGTAGTTTTATAATAACGATTGTTTAACTTAAGGAAAATCATGTAATGATCTGTGATAGTTGTGTTTATCACTACGATTGTTGCATTTGATTTATTTGTATCTATTTTCAACATACAGTGATCGAGACAGTTGCTACCTCTCGTAGGTATCGAGTGTCCTGGAAGCAAGCCATGTGTACATAACATATTTAAATAGTTTAGTCTATTTATTCTTTCATGTGTTCTTTCATTATATTTGTGTATTATATTAATGTTAATATCACCCGTCAAGACAATGTGTTTGCACATTTTAAGGACTCTAAGTAAAGACTAAGAGAGTTGATAAAACTTTCAGCATGTATGTTAGATGGCGAGCGATAAATACCAATAATAATGTAGTCATTAAATTGAATTTGCAGACCAGACGCTTCTGATAGTGAAATTTCATTGACACTCACTGAATGCTTATTACTAATATAAGCAGTAACACCATCGCAATGATTTATGTGTTGTGTTGTGTTGTATTATAGGACGTGTAATTATTTAATATAGGAACAGGTTTGTTCTTGTCTAACCAACACTCGCTAAGGATAATAAAATCAGGCGTTATTCGAAGTTGAGTAAGATTTAAATATAAGTCATCAAAATTTCTGTAAATACTCCGAATATTTTGTGAAATAATAGTTATATCGGATTTATGTATTATTTGTTGCGTTCTAAAGTCTTGGACTCGACATTCACAGGATTGTGCAATGCTTATATTGTCTAATTCATGTAAAGTATTTAGAGAACTATCCATAACCAGTATTAAATTCAGATTCTTTATCTATAATTTGCATTACTTTTCTTAATTCTAAGTGTTTATGTATTGATTGTAAAGGAGTACTTTTATGATATGTGTAGGTATAATGTGAATAATTTGTAAATATGCTAAAGATGAGTTTGTGTAATATGTTCATGAGAGTGGATGGATATGTGTAATGTGTGTTATTTTTGTGTGTGTGTGTGTGTGTTGACATTATGATAAGAATAATAATTTTACATTTATATAGGTTAAATATTTTAGGAACACTAATCTTACAAGAACAATAAACATACGAATAAAAGTGTATCAATACAAAATAAATATTTAGTACAAATAGTCATGCTTTTTGCATAATGCTTTGAATTTGTGAATCATTTTTAATTAAAATTATAGGAGAGCCCTCATTTTTTCTAACATAAATTCTTCCATATGCAGACCAGCAAAACTTATACTCTTTTGTCTTAGCAAGGTCGCGAGCAAGAAAATGCAGTCGTGTTGTTTTTGCTGTCAGATGCTATTACTATCAATATTAAAGCCTAGATGCTTGGCACACAATTTCTCCTTTTGCTTTATTCTGAAATACTTAATAATTTTTAAAAACTCCGTCTTTTGTAGTGTTGACGTCAATTCAGCAATGATTGGACTTTTATTAATGTCACGTTTATTACGGACTCGGACCAATATTTTTAGATAAAGTTAAAACCATCTTCATTAAGTCCTCTTTAGACTCTAGTGATTTTCGGAACATTTTTCAGTTCTATGGCTGTCTTACAGTTCTCGCGTTGCAGATCCTCGATTTTATCCTCCAATATAGTTATATAATCTTTATCTTTTTTGATTTGAAGTTCCATTTGTTCAATTTTATGTTTTAATTCCTCATTCTGTGAGGTGAGAAATGCTATAGAAGCTTCTATGTTATTATTTGTGCTTTTAATCTCCATCAGAGTAGGGTGTATTTTATTTATTTCAGTTTGATGTTCAGTCAACATTTGGGAAATCATTGACTTTATATCATTTCTGAATGTGACAAAATCTTGCTCCCAGTCATTTTCTCTGCCCCGTTTATGGCGCTGAGTAACAAATTTTGGTGGCGTGCGCTCCAATCGATCAATATTAGATTCCGAAGTTGATCGGTCATACTTATCCATATTAAGTACAAGAAGATAATAACGCTTTTGCAGGTACAAACAGCACTATTGTGTAATACTGTTATAGGTTATAGGTAGGCCTTGCCCACTTTATGCTGTCGCCAGTGACGGCCCTTTGTCCTCGAATGCTAAAAATGGCGTATCCTGCGCGTGCACTGATTTGCCAAAGTGAGAACAAAAGAATTCACAGTACCTCGTAAGTGGGTGATTCGCCAGAAAGTACCAGGGCAGCAGTATAAACGTAGAGGTTGCTAATTTTTCTTCTTAATAGTTTAGTACCTTCACTTGATTTATGCACTCCTATTTTCTTAAGTGGTTTATTAACACAAATTTTAATTTATTTTAAAAGTAATTTCAACAAGATGACAGTATACGTTAACACCATATGGCGGTCCGGGGGGAAGAGGAGGAGTTTAAACACCAGAAAGTTCTTCACCGATCGCTTTGTAATATTCATAGAAGTTTAAACCAATCATTTCAATATTACTCCGATTATATTTATATATAAATATTGTTTATGTATAGATATTATCTTACCACACATTTCGCTTGTCACACAACCTCCTTTGTCGTTCCTATAAAATCCCTCTTTACAAATACATTCATTTTTGCAGACCTCTGTAGCGTTATCAATGCAATTAAACAGAATGTCTCGATTTCGACACGTTTTCGCGGGTGGACAAGACTTCACACATTTCAGCTCCTCATTAGGTCCAGTACACATCGTTTTATCTGTAAAAGATGCAGTTATTATTGCTTTATTTATTTTTCTTCGTGTGATAACGGCAGCAGAATAATCCTACATCACATCTCGTTACGTGGGGTGTTATAGTCTATACATTATGACCTATAGAAGACATTATCTATATGCGACTCCAACATATTTTTATAAAATTCCTAACTTACAATTCACCTGTTGGATAATGTCTACTACAGTTCATAGACATCTGCAGCCAGCTAAAACAAAATAGGCTACAGACGCAAATTCACTTCTGAGTGACTAAGATATAATGCCTTTAAAACTGTATTTATACTGGCTATATATACCCTTTAGCCCAAAAAAACAGTAAGTTCTGTGTTACTATTTATATACTACCTAGTAGCAAAAAAGCGGCAGACTGCTAACCTATCAAGTCGGACTCCTATTAAGAAAAATTATATATATATATATATATATATATATATACAAAATATATTGCACATATTATCAAAACTAAATTTTCCTTTGTCTGAAATTTTAAACATTAGAAAGTTCGTCACCGATCGCTTTGTAATATTCGTAGAACTTTCTATTCGGATACGGACACGTTTTAATGTACGTTTTGCTACAGAAACGCGTGGCTGGTCACAGCTAGCCGTTAATATTAATAATTTTAAATTATTTCTTTAGGAATCCGGCAGATATATGTATGTACGACATATAATATTAAACTACATCCAGTATTTGACAGGATCGTTCCGGTACAAATTCGTATAAATCCTAAGCTTAGTAAAAACCAATCATTTCAATTAACTTACTCCGATTATATTTATATATAAATATTGTTTATGTATCGATATTATCTTACCACACATTTCGCTTGTCACACAACCTCCTTTGTCGTTCCTATAAAATCCCTCTTTACAAATACATTCATTTTTGCAGACCACTGTAGAGTTATCAATGCAATTAAAGAGAATGTCGCGATTTCGACACGTTTTCGCGGGTGGACAAGACTTCACACATTTCAGCTCCTCATTAGGTCCAATACACATCGTTCTATCTGTAAAAGATGTAGTTATTATTGCTTTATTTATTTTTCTTCGTGTGATAACGGCAGCAGAATAATCCTTCATCACATCTCGTTACGTGGGGTGTTATAGTCTACACCCTATGACATATAGAAGAGATTATCTATATGCGATTTCAACATATTTTTATAAAATTCCTAACTTACAGTTCACCTGTTGGATAATGTCTACTACAGTTCATAGACATCCGCCACCTGCTAAATCAAAATAGGCTACAGACGCAAATTAACTTCTGAGTGACTAAGATAGAATGTATTTAAACCTGTATTTATACTGGCTATATATACCCTTTAGCCCAAAAAAACAGTAAGTTCTGTGTTACTATTTATATGCTACCTAGTGGCAAAAAAGTAGCAGGCAGCTAACATATCTGCTAACCTATCAAGTCGGACTCTTGTTAAGAAATAGTGGCAGGCAGCTAACCTATCAAGTCGGACTCCTATTAAGAAAAAGCAGCAGACTGCTAACCTATCAAGTCAGACTCCTATTAAGAAAAAGCGGCAGACTGCTAACCTATCAAGTCGGACTCCTATTAAGAAAAAGTAGCAGACTGCTAACCTATCAATTCAGACTCCTATTAAGAAAAAATAGCAGACTGCTAACCTATCAAGTCAGACTCCTATTAAGAAAAAGTAGCAGACTGCTAACCTATCAATTCAGACTCCTATTAAGAAAAAGTAGCAGGCTGCTAACCTATCAAGTCGGACTCCTGTTAAGAAAAAGCAGCAAGCTGCTAACCTATCAAGTCAGACTCCTATTAAGAAAAAGTAGCAGACTGCATACCTACCAAGTCAGACTCCTATTAAGAAAAAGTAGCAGACTGCTAACCTATCAAGTCAGACTCCTATTAAGAAAAACTAGCAGCCTGCTAACCTATCAAGTCGGACTCCTGTTAAGAAAAGGTAGCAGACTGCTAACCTATCAAGTCGGACTCCTGTTAAGAAAAAGTAGCAGATTGCTAACCTATCAATTCAGACTCCTATTAAGAAAAAGTAGCAGACTGCTAACCTATCAAGTCGGACTCCTGTTAAGAAAAAGTAGCATGCTGCTAACCTATCAATTCAGACTCCTATTAAGAAAAAGTAGCAGACTGCTAACCTATCAAGTCGGACTTCCTGTTAAGAAAAAGTAGCAGGCTGCTAACCTATGAAGTCAGACTCCTGTTAAGAAAAAGTAGCATGCTGCTAACCTATCAAGTCAGACTCCTATTAATAAAAAGTAGCAGACTGCTAACCTATCAATTCAGACTCCTATTAAGAAAAAGTAGCAGACTGCTAACCTATCAAGTCGGACTCCTGTTAAGAAAAAGTAGCAGGCTGCTAACCTATGAAGTCAGACTCCTATTAAGAAAAAGTAGCATGCTGCTAACCTATCAAGTCAGACTCCTATTAAGAAAAAGTAGCAGACTGCAAACCTATCAAGTCGGACTCCTGTTAAGAAAAAGTAGCAGACTGCTAACCTATCAAGTCGGACTCCTGTTAAGAAAAAGTAGCAGACTGCTAACCTATCAAGTCGGACTCCTGTTAAGAAAAAGTAGCAGGCTGCTAACCTATCAAGTCAGACTCCTATTAAGAAAAAGCAGCAGACTGCTAACCTATCAATTCAGACTCCTATTAAGAAAAAGTAGCAGACTGCTAACCTATCAAGTCGGACTCCTGTTAAGAAAAAGTAGCAGGCTGCTAACCTATGAAGTCAGACTCCTATTAAGAAAAAGTAGCATGCTGCTAACCTATCAAGTCAGACTCCTATTAAGAAAAAGTAGCAGACTGCAAACCTATCAAGTCGGACTCCTGTTAAGAAAAAGCAGCAGGCTGCTAACCTATCAAGTCGGACTCCTGTTAAGAATAAGCAGCAGGCTGCTAACCTATCAAGTCGGACTCCTGTTTAGAAAAAGTAACAGGCTACTAACCTATCAAGTCAAACTCCTATTTAGAAAAAGTAGCAGACTGCTAACCTATCAAGTCAGACTCCTATTAAGAAAAAGTAGCAGGCTGCTAACCAATCAAGTCAGACTCCTATTAAAAAAAAGTAGCAGGCTGCTAACCTATCAAGTTAGACTCCTATTTGGAAAAACTAGCAGGCTGCTAACCTATCTGCTAACCTATCAAGTCGGACCCCTGTTAAGAAATAGTGGCAGGCAGCTAACCTATGAAGTCGGACTCCTATTAAGAAAAAGTAGCAGGCTGCTAACCTATCAAATCGGACTCCTATTAAAAAAAAGTAGCAGACTGCTAATCTATGAAGTCGGACTCCTATTAAGAAAAAGTAGCAGGCTGCTAACCTATCAAATCAGACTCCTATTAAGAAAAAGTAGCAGGCTGCTAACCTATGAAGTCAGACTCCTATTAAGAAAAAGTAGCAGGCTGCTACCCTATCAAGTCAGACTCCTATTAAGAAAAACCGAAGTCGGTTTTGGACAGAATTTCTTTGTCTTAAATAAGAGACACACGAAAAGAGATATGGAAGTATGACTAGATCTTCCCGATTCAATGTTGGGTTTAAATACCATCATGTGGTTGGATATAGCATTAAAGGTTTAGAGTAGTAACACATCTATATCGTTATTTTCTTTGAATTTGACTCCGGTATCAATGGATAACAATGGCCACTTTTCAAGATTTATTCACAAAAAACATTAAATATTTTATAGACGGATTATCATTCAACACCTTCATACATGATAGAAACAGTTTTTTGTGTCAGTGATTTCACCTATGTCAGCTATTTTTTACGTGGTAGAGCCATGCTGCAGTTATATTAGTAGTATAGTTGTAGCACGAACGTGTTCGTTCGACGGGGGAAGGACCACGATCTCACAGAAAATACCAGCGTGAAATGGTAGCTTCACGCTGCTGTGTTTAGCATAGTAATTGTAGAGAACCGGAGTCCCTTTTTACTGGAAATGAGGCATTCCATCCTAGTCCTCACGGGTGACAACGCATCTGCATTTTTAGATGTAGATGTCTATGAGCCACAGCAACCACCTACCATCAAGTGGACTGTGAGCTCGTTTGTCACCCTATCCTATATAATATATGTAAATATATATATATATATATATATATATATATATATATATATATATATTTGGTGACATGGGTAGTGAGGCAAAAGATATAGTCGAATTTGATCTTAACCTGCACGGAAAAGCTTTCTATCATAAACCCAATTTGCTTCACAGCAGGTGAGTGCAGTAACTATGAATAAGAAAATGGTAGAGTCCCTTTGTGACCATCTTCCTAAGGTGTTGGGTTTGTTCTATTCACTATTCCAGCAAGATAGATATCTCCCAAATAATCTAATGAGATACTTCATTATGGTTGCACCAATTCTCAAAAATAAAACTGGGGCATCTCGGATATAACCAACTATAGACCCATATACACAACTACAGGCCCAGGCTACACCAGGCTACATATTAGCAAATACACCGGACATACTACTTGATGCGTAGTTAAGAAATCATTTGCAACAGCATTGTGCCCAATTCGGTCTCCAAACTGCCTTCGATTTTGTGTGTTAAGAAATATTGTACAATAAATTGAGGAGACAAGATCTCTGCTGAGTTTGTTGTGATCTTGTAGTATTGATACATAAATCAAATAAGTAATGTAAAATGAGTAGACTCGTTTTCTGAACCTTACAGGCTAAAACATAAGGTAAGTTTTCTTACATTAATTTGTGTCTAAATAAATTGTTAAGTATATAAAAGTTACCGTTACAACTTATTAAAGCATTGACTTATATATTACTAGCATAAGAACCGGGCCGACCGAACAACTAAAACGGATCAGTGCGCTGGCCCTAAAATAACAGTTTAAGGCTAACGTGAATCGGTCGACAGTGGTGCGCGCGCAGGACAGATTTGCCTGTCATAATTATGTCTAGTTGCGTGATAAAAGGATGCAAAAATTACGATTCAAAGATTAAAAAGGAACATGGGATGTCGTGTCATCGGTTAATAACTTTATATTAATTTTGTTACAATTAAATTATTATATTAACGCATTTTTAAAGTTTTATTTTACAGTTAGTTTAGTTATATTACCAAGATAAGGCCAGGGTTGGATTCAAACCCTCAAAAATATTGTACATGCAAAATAAAATTATACTATTTTTAAAAAAATTATATCATGTTTGACGTTTCATGTTGCCTTTTTCCCATGTGCCGAGATTTTGGCGTCACACGTCTAGTTTATTTATACGTTTCGTTTTTGATGGTTTTATTTTTATTTCTGTTTTATTTTTGTCTAAAGAACTTAGTGTAAGTTAAAGTTTGAATATTTGTGGTGGTACTAATATATTTCATATTCAGTAAGGGTAAAACGAAAAGAGTACAAAGGAAACCAAATCTGTTGAATTGAATCTGAAAATCTAATTCATAAAATATTTTGAAATTTTGTTTTCAAAAATTATATTACAAGTCGAACTTTAGGTAAAAATATGGTACTTTCGCTTAGTATTATTACGATATTATATACTACAAACTATGAAATGATAGAATTAGGATAATTATACTACGAAATCCGACCCTGGTTACGTCGTGCTATGATATGACGTTTGCATTATGACAGATGCGCTACTTTTTCTTGTATGAAAAAGTTATAAGTAAAATATTTAGATGGGCCTGTCCTTCCTTTTGAAATCATTGTATATTAAGTTCACTGCTGTACATAGGCCTCCCCATAGATTGCCCCATAGGTGGGGTATTTGCCATTTAATATATTATATCTTGCCTTACCTGGAAGTACTAATTCACCTATTGTACTGCTTTCTGTCTCATCCGAAATAGTAATTCTGTCATTTTGTTCAGTGCATTCATTTACTGTTTTATAGACCGTTATTATATCACTCTCATATTCAAAACTGTCTGCTGAACTACCAGAATCCCATTGATCTTCTCCATTGTTTGAATACTGTGAGTAAGGTTCTGGAACAACAAGAGAATTTCATAAATAAATGACACTTACGTTTTTATTTTTGCAGCAACTAATTCATCGAGACATTCGTTATTTTAATTAATAGATAGTCCAGCGATTAGTAGAAGTATTTTTTATTAAGTCATTCTGCAGCTATATTATGATTGTACGACGAATAAGTCAACTGAACTAGAGAAAGGCAACGCTCTCATAGACCGAACATAAAGCATGTTTCAAGAAATATTAATTAGCAGGCAGCTAACCCATCAAGTCGGACTCCTATTAAGAAAAAGTAGCAGGCTGCTAACCTATCAAGTCGGACTCCTGTAAAGAAAAAGTAGCAGGCTGCTAACCTATCAAGTAGTACTCCTATTATGAAAAAGTAGCAGGCTCCTAACCTATCAAGTCGGACTCCTATTATGAAAAAGTAGCAGGCTGCTAACCTATCAAGTCGGACTCCTATTAAGAAAAAGTTGCAGGCTACCTATCAAGTCGGACTCCTATTATGAAAAAGTAGCAGGCTGCTAACCTATCAAGTCGGACTCCTGTTAAGAAAAAGTAGCAGGCTGCTAACCTATCAAGTCGGACTCCTGTAAAGAAAAAGTAGCAGGCTGCTAACCTATCAAGTCGGACTCCTATTAAGAAAATGTAGGAGGCTGCTAACCTATCAACTCAGACTCCTATTAAGAAAAAGTAGCAAGCTGCTAACCTATCAAGTCGGACTCCTGATAAGAAAAAGTAGCAGGCTGCTAACATATCAAGTCGGACTCCTGTTAAGAAAAAGTAGCAGGCTGCTAACCTATCAAGTCGGACTCCTGTTAAGAAAAGGTAGCAGGCTGCTAACCTATGAAGTCGGACTCCTGATAAGAAAAATTAGCAGGCTGCTAACCTATCAAGTCTGAATGCTATTAAGAAAAAGTAGCAGGCAGCTAACCTATCAAGTCAGACTCCTATTAAGAAAAAGTAGCAGGCTGCTAACCTACCAAGTCAGACTCCTATTAAAAAAAGTAGCAGACTGCTAACCTATCAAGTCGGACTCCTGTTAAGTAAAAGCAGCAGGCTGCTAACCTATCAAATCAGACTCCTGTTAAGAAAAAGTGGCAGGCAGCTAAACTATCAAGTCGGACTCCTATTAAGAAAAAGTAGCAGACTGCTAACCTATCAAGTCTGACTCCTATTAAGAACAAGAAGCAGGCTGCTAACCTACCAAGTCTGATTCCTATTAAAAAAAGTAGCAGGCAGCTAACCTATCAAGTCGGACTCCTGTTACGAAAAAGCAGCAGGCTGCTAACCTATCAAGTGGAACTCCTGTTAAGTAAAAGCAGCAGGCTGCTAACCTATCAAATCAGACTCCTGTTAAGAAAAAGTGGCAGGCAGCTAAACTATCAAGTCGGACTCCTATTAAGAAAAAGTCGCAGACTGCTAACCTATCAAGTCAGACTCCTATTAAGAAAATGTAGCAGGCTGCTAACCTATGAAGTCAGACTCCTATTAAGAAAAAGTAGCAGGCTGCTAACCTATCAAGTCAGACTCCTATTAAGAAAAAGTAGCAGGCTGCTAACCTATCAAGTCAGACTCCTATTAAGAAAAAGTAGCAGGCTGCTAACCTATCAAGTCAGACTTCTATTAAGAAAAAGTAGCAGACTGCTAACCTATCAAGTCGGACTCCTATTAAGAAAAAGTAGCAGGCTGCTAACCTATCAAGTCGGACTCCTGTTAAGAAAAAGTAGCAGGCTGCTAACCTATCAAGTCGGACTCCTATTAAGAAAAAGTAGCAGACTGCTAACCTATCAAGTCAGACTCCTCTTAAGAAAAAGTAGCAGGCTGCTAACCTATCAAGTCAGACTCCTATTAAGAAAAAGTAGCAGACTGCTAACCTATCAAGTCAGACTCCTCTTAAGAAAAAGTAGCAGGCTGCTAACCTATCAAGTCAGACTCCTATTAAAAAAAGTAGCAGGCTGCTAACCTATCAAGTCAGACTCCTCTTAAGAAAAAGTAGCAGGCTGCTAACCTATCAAGTCAGACTCCTATTAAGAAAATGTAGCAGGCTGCTAACCTACGAAGTCAGACTCCTATTAAGAAAAAGTAGCAAGCTGCTAACCTATCAAGTCGGACTCCTATTAAGAAAAAGTAGCAGACTGCTAACCTATCAAGTCAGACTCCTATTAAGAAAAGGTAGCAGACAGCTAACCTATGAAGTCGGACTCCTATTAAGAAAAAGTAGCAGGCTGCTAACCTATCAAGTCAGACTCCTATTAAGAAAAAGTAGCAGACTGCTAACCTATCAAGTCAGACTCCTATTAAGAAAAAGTAGCAGACTGCTAACCTATCAAGTCAGACTCCTATTAAGAAAAAGTAGCAGACTGCTAACCTATCAAGTCAGACTCCTATTAAGAAAAAGTAGCAGACTGCTAACCTATCAAGTCAGACTCCTATTAAGAAAAAGTAGCAGACTGCTAACCTATCAAGTCAGACTCCTATTAAGAAAAAGTAGCAGACTGCTAACCTATCAAGTCAGACTCCTATTAAGAAAAAGTAGCAGCCTGCTAACATATCAAGTCAGACTCCTCTTAAGAAAAAGCAGCAGACTGCTAACCTATCAAGTCGGACTCCTGTTAAGAAAAAGTAGCAGACTGCTAACCTATCAAGTCAGACTCCTATTAAAAAAAGTAGCAGGCTGCTAACCTATCAAGTCAGACTCCTATTAAGAAAAAGTAGCAGGCCGCTAACCTATGAAGTCAGACTCCATAAGAAAAAGGCCTAACCAAGTCAGTTTTTGACAGAATTTCTTTCTCTTAAATAAGAGACACACGGAAAGAGATATGGAAGTATGAATAGATCTTCCCGATTCAATGTTGGGTTTAAATACCATCATGTGGTTGGATATAGCATTAAAGGTTTAGAGTAGTAACACATCTATATCGTTATTTTCTTTGAATTTGACTCCGGTATCAATGGATAACAATGGCCACTTTTCAAGATTTATTCACAAAAAACATTAAATATTTTATAGAGGGATTATCATTCAACACCCATACAATAGACAGTTTTTTGTGTCAGTGATTTCACCTATGTCAGCTATTTTTTACGTGGTAGAGCCATGCTGCAGTTATATTAGTAGTATAGTTGTAGCACGAACGGGTTCGCTCGACCGGGGAAGGACCACGATCTCACAGAAAATACCAGCGTGAAATGGTAGCTTCACGCTGCTGTGTTTAGCATGGTGAGTGTAGAGAACTGGAGACCCTTTTTACTGGAAATGAGACATTCCATCTTAGTCCTCATGGGTGACAACGCATCTGCATTTTAATTCGTAATCAAAGATAGATGTAAATATCTATGGGCCACAGCAACCACTTACCATCAAGTGGACTGTGAGCTCGTTTGTCATCCTATCCTATATATATACACACACATATATATATATATATATATTTGGTGACATGGGTAGTGAGGCAAAAGATATAGTCGAATTTGATCTTAACCTGCAGGGAAAAGCTTTCTATCATAAACCCAATTTGCTTCACAGCAGGTGAGTGCAGTAACTATGAATAAGAAAATGGTAGGGTCCCTTTGTGACCATCTTCCTAAGGTGTTGGGTTTGTTCTATTCACTATTCCAGCAAGATATCTCTTGAGATACTTCATTATGGTTGCACCAATTCTCAAAAATAAAACTGGGGCATCTCGGATATAACCAACTATAGACCCATATATACACAACTACAGGCCCAGGCTACACCAGGCTACATATTAGCAAATACACCGGACATACTACTTGATGCGTAGTTAAGAAATCATTTGCAACTGCATTGTGCCCAATTCGGTCTCCAAACTGTCTTCGATTTTGTGTGTTAAGAAATATTGTACGATAAGTTGAGGAAAAAAGATCTCTGCTGAGTTTGTTGTGATTTTGTAGTATTGATACATAAATCAAATAAGTAATGTAAAATGAGTAGACTCGTTTTCTGAACCTTACAGGCTAAAACATAAGGTAAGTTTTCTTACATTAATTTGTGTTTTTGTAAATTGTTAAATATATAAAAGTTACCGTTACAACTTATTAAAGCATTGAGTTATATATTACTAGCGTAAGAACCGGGCTGACCGAACAATTAAAACGGACCAGTGCGCTGGCCCGCTGGCCCTAAAATAACAGTTTAAGGCTAACGTGAATCGGTCGACAGTGGTGCGCGCGCAGGACAGATTTGCCTGTCATAATTATATCTAGTTGCGTGATAAAAGGATGCAAAAATTACGATTCGAAGATTAAAAAGGAACATGGGATGTCGTATCATCGGTTAATCACTTTATATTAATTTTGTTACATTTAAATTATTATATTATCACATTTTTAAAGTTTTATTTTACAGTTAGTTTAGTTATGTTACCATATAAGGCCAGAGTTGGTTCAAACCCTCAAAAATATTGTACATGCAAAATAAAATTATACTATTTTTAAAAAAATTATATCATTTTTGACGTTTCATGTTTCCTTTTTCCCATGTGCCGAGATTTTGGCGTCACACGTCTAGTTTATTTCTACGTTTCGTTTTTGATGGTTTTATTTTTATTTCTGTTTTATTTTTGTGTAAGTTAAATTTTGAATATTTGTGGTGGTACTAATATATTTCATATTCAATAAGGGTAAAACGAAAAGAGTACAAAGGAAACCAAATCTGTTGAATTGAATCTGAAAATCTAATTCATAAAATGTTTTGAAATTTTGTTTTCAAAAATTATATTACAAGTCGAACTTTAGGTAAAAATATGGTATTTTCACTTAGTATTATTACGACATTATATACTACAAACTATGAAATGATAGAATTAGGATAATTATACTACGAAATCCGGCCCTGGTTACGTCGTGTTATGATATGACGTTTGCATTATGACAGATGCGCTACTTTTTCTTGTATGAAAAAGATATGAGTAAAATATTTAGATGGGCCTGTCCTTCCTTTTGAAATCATTGTATTAAAGTCCACTGCTGTACATAGGCCTCCCCCATAGATTGCCCCATAGGTGGGGTATTTGCCATTTAATATATTATATCTTGCCTTACCTGGAAGTACTAATTCACCTATTGTACTGCTTTCTGTCTCATCCGAAATAGTAATTCTGTCATTTTGTTCAGTGCATTCATTTACTGTTTTATAGGCCGTTATTATACCACTCTCATATTCAAAACTGTCTTCAGAATTATCAGAGTCCCATTGATCTTCCTCATTGTTTGAATACTGGGAATAATGTTCTGGAACAACAAGAGAATTACATAAATACATGATACTTACGATTTGTTGTTGGAGCATCTACTTTATCGATACATGCGTTATTTAAATTAATAAATAGTCCAGCGATTAGTAGAAGAATTTTTTATTAAGTCATTCTGCAGCTATATTATGATTGTATCACGAATAAGTCAACTGAACTGGAGAAATGCAACGCTCTCAAAGACCGAACATAAAGAATGTTTCAAGAAATATTAATTACTCGCGCGTCAAAATCGTGTCTGAAATACGATATTTTGTCCACCCTGGCCGTAAACTCACGGCATTAAAATATTTAAAAAGAAATAATAAAAAAATTTAATATTACAACCAAACTAAGTTTTAGTAATGAAGATTGAGTTTGCTTTTATTAAGAAATTAGGTTTATTTTTATTCTATTGAGATTGTCCCGGGCAGCATGATGAGCCAGTGTCTGTCGGAATTGTTATTCGAAGATAAATGGGGTATTGATCGAATCTCTCGTTTACCAGCGTGAAACAGGAGCATAATACGGCTGTTTTTCGGATAGTGAGTAGAGGAAACCCTTTTTACTGGAAATGAGACATCCCATCTTGTTTCTCGGGGATGACAACGCATCTTCATTTTGATTCTTAATCAAGGATAGATGTAGATGTCTATGGGCCATAGCACCCATTTACCATCAGGTGAACTAGAGGACTAAGAGCAAACGGCTAATAAACTTTAAACCGAAACAGCAATGAATGCATTGCTTCTTAAAGACAAAAATAGTTAAGAGATTATCAATTTACTTGGACTCGTAGGAGCTCTACGTCTTCTAAAATAATTAATGAAAGAAGTTTATTGGTGTTGGGTTTGAAATTAAGTCGCCTGAATTTGAAGATTCTGCCACTGTAAGGGGGGGGGCAGGGTCTATCTGAAGCACCCGTGCGATTTTTGCTGCCGGAGCGGCTTCGATGTATTTTTAATTATTTTTTAAAATATTGGTAAATCACTAACTCATCGTGAAATGGAACGCATATTTGACTAAATTTTAACGTTTTTGACGTTGCGTCTGTCAAAGTCAACTCAAAATGCATAAAAGGCATAAAATGACTCGCTAGGCCGGTTATTTTGTTGACAGTGACAGATATACCTTACGTTATTCCGTTCACAAATTATAAAGTTTCGTTGTTTTCGAGTTTACGTGAATGTGCTCCCAAACGTTTTTATCTGCCTCCACCTGCTTTTTATGCTTCGCTACCTCTATGGATCCCTTTTATATTTTTAGTTATGTTTATAATTTTAAGTAATAATAAAAGTTAATATTTTGGTGTTTTATTGAGTAAGAGTAAGAGCGAGTGAAGCGAGCTCGGGACTTTGGGCACCCCGAATCGGACAGGTTAAGTTAGAAGGGGATGGCGAGATTGAGTGAGCGAGTGAAGCGAGCGAATTGGCCCCGTCATCCCCTTTGGGGTTATTTTTTTAAAAACCACTCAGAAGTAGGAGGCCCGCGAGGCGAGCATCCGTCGAGCGGGTTTCCCTCGGCTGCGCTACGTGAAGTGGCGTGGGGCTTCCCTCCCCCAACTATCTCCCCCTACAAATCAGGTTTATAGTCAAAAATATTTTGAAAGCATAACCTCAAAATGAGATTTTTAATATTTTTTTTTGTGTATTTAATTAAAGCCCCAACTTCAGAATGTGAAATAAAGTTATTTTTACCGCCTCGAGTAGACTAACGAATGTCACAATCAAATCATAATTGTCTAAATAGTTCTATCGAAACTTTATCTCGTTGTTTTTGTCACTCTTCGGTTTAGATTTTTTCCAAATAGGACACCCCCAAAGTGTAACCATTTTATAAAAGAAGCAATTTGAAGTTCGGTTCACAATTGACGAATATATAGCCGAACATACGTAGGATACATTTGATATTATTACAAAAGTATTATCAAATTAACAATTACACTCATTTAAAATAAAAACATATTAGGTAATTACAACTTGGCAAGCGAGACCATTAAAATTAATGTCATGTGAATGCTCACGTTTAAATGTTTCATAGGTAGGTACATCATATGTTTCAAAGGTGTATCCAAAGAGTATCTTATCACTACTGGGTGTATTATATTTCTTTAAAACTGGCGTCCGAGGCACGTAATATTATGTACTCAGTTTTTTCTTACCACTTTTGCACACAAACACTTTCAATAGAAACTTCATGGTTATTAACAGTAAATGACGTCATAGTTTTTTGTGATCCAATAAACAGCATATTTGTGTATTTGTGTAATTTAAAATTCACTTTCATTCACGATCATCATCATTACAGCTAATAACACTCCGCTACGTGATATTCGCTATAGCTGCCACTAGTTTTTTTATTAAATATTTTCAATAGTCTATCCTGATAAGCAACTGAAATAATAAAATGCTGCTACGCATTTCCTTTTTTATTTCCCACTGTGGTCTCTTACGTGACCCATGGGATGATAATATGGAGTAATGGACATTCTTACGTCACCCACGGGATGATATTATGGAGTAATAGATATTCTTACGGCACCCATGGGATGATATTATAGAGTAATGGATATTCTTACGTCACCCATGAGATGATATTATGGAGTAATGGATATTCTTACGTCATCCATGGGATGTTATTATGGAGTAATGGATATTCTTACTTCACCCATGGGATGATATTATGTAGTAATGGATATTCTTACGTCATTATTACACGGCTAATAGGACATATTTCGGCTAAAAATTAACAAATTCAAAATATATTTTGATAGATTAATATCAATGATGGTTTTCAATTCGAGTGTATTTTTGTATGTATATTAATTTTATGTCTATTTTTTGTATGTAAGTAAATTCTCAGAGAGGAAAACATTTTATTCTTTAGGCATGTATATACTTTCCACAAATTCTAGGTTTGGATCTACAAATCTTGCTTATTTGTTATTAAATATGCGCTAACATACAAAAATTAGCTCTTTAATCCATACAGTCACAAATAAATAAACTTAAAAAAAAGGTAAAAACTACTTCAAAAAAATACTTAAAAGAATAAAATATTTTTTACTTAATTTAAGGCGCGTTTAGCTTCTAAAGATCTTTCAGCGGTGGCAAGCTGTCAAGTTGACTGTCAGTATATCGTAGTGCTGAAGTGTTTGTACAGTAGGGCTACGATGGTTATGCGAGTACAGAATCAGAGCACGAAACCTATTCAACTGCAGAGAGGTGTCATACAAGGTGACGTTACACCCCTGACACTCATCACCGCTGCATTGGAAGACGTTTTCAAGCTACTGGACCGGAAAGGCAACGGTATTAACATCAATGGCAAGTACATCACTCATCTTTAATTTGTCGACGACGACTTATGGCATATGACCTAAGCACTATGGCTCAATGACCTCAATAGTGTCTTCCAACGGATAATTCTTAAGATAGACAAGTACAAAACAAAGATCATGTGCAGCATGTGATCATCATGATCAAAAAACTGACAACCGATTGCGAAAAAAGCCTCGTATCGGTAGGCAAAGTGTAGGGAGATGATGCAGGAAATCGGTGGATGCAAGTGGCATTCCTTGGGGGAGGCCTATGTTCAGCAGCGGACTTGTGAAGGGGTGTAATGATGATGAAGCTTCTAAAGTAATGATAATTTTTCGATTTACTTTTTACAGGAGATAATAATTTATATGCATGATTAAAACTACTTTTACGGATTTTATCGCGTTTATGTTTACTTTTTATTTACTTTTATTTTTAATTCCCGACGTTTCGGGCGCTTCCCAGCACCCATGGTCACGGGGGACTGAGATGACTGACGTCCCGATGTCATTGTTAAACCCGGAGTACCTTCAGCTTTTTAATTATTGTTTATGAAACGTCGGGAATTAAAAATAAAAGTAAATAAAAAGTAAAAATAAACGCGATAAAATCCGTAAAAGTAGTTTTAATCATGTATAGTGTTCGCGTAAATATAAGAAATCATTAATTTATATGCAAATTATTTTTACACTTTTGTTTTTTGAAGTCAGTTTTTACTTTTTAAAAGTTTTTTTTTTTTTCAAATTTATTTAATATGTAATTAAATAAACGGTCTTTCTAAATCCTTTTTCGAACCCGCCAGCATATTAGAGCCGTCCTGAAGCGTATAATGGCTGTGTAGAGCAAAATTGTTCGATCGGGGAAAACCCATGTTCGCACAGAATAACAGTGCGTAATAGCAGCATAATATGTTGCTGTGTTTCGTAGTGACGAAAACGGGAAGTCCCTTTTATTGCTTACGTGAATCTATCTCAGCCCCCAGAGGCATAAATGCATTTTAATTCTTAAACGAAGATAAATGTAGGTGCACATGGTTCACGGCTTATTGTGCAATATCGCTAAGTAATAGAATTACTAATCACAAATCATTCCATAAGTGTCGTAAAAACGACCGAAGGAAACAAAGTATAATAGGAAGCGGCATATTTCTGATAACAATAGTAATTTCATATATTTACGTGAATACGTCATATTTTTATTGAATAAAAGTAAAACAAATTTTATGTATTATTTTATAGCGTTTAATTTTACAACCCACCATCCCACACAAACTGCCATCTATAGGAGAGGCCTATGTTCAGTAATGGACATTAAATAAGCTGTAATGAATTAATGCATCCACGACTTTTACACGTTTTATGTCGTTAATTTTTTTTTTTTATTATGGACAAAGAATAAAGTATAAAATTGTTAAAAATAAAATAATAAACAAACAAATAATATTGAATAACTTTTAGATGATACTGAGTTGCGCATTAAGCGTCACCGGCATCGGCACAGTCGTTGCCAACCATTCTGCAGTGTGGCGGCAAATTCCACCGACATTGAGAGTAGCTCTTAGACTATATATCAAAGGATTACCTTAAGGCTTAAGTCGGTAAACTTGCTCATAATGATTGAACCAGCAAACTTAACGTCACGACGGATGTAAAAAAAAGGTATTGTTATTTAAAACTAATAGTATACGAATATCGTGACATAGATGTCAAATGGTAGAGCTAAATAAAACACTGAGGTTGCCAACGCACTTGCCAAGGGTAGCAACTATATCCCTCGTGGCAAATGGCAAATATCCCCCCTATGAGGCAATGTATGGGGGAGGCTTATGTTCAGCGGTGGACTTAAATACCTTGTAACGGTAACATGAGATCCAGTTATCACTTAGTCAAATGGACTGTCACCTCGTTAGTCACTCTATAAATATTTAAAAATATAAAAATTTATTCACCTGTGTTAACTCCGTAAAATATGCAATAACTTAAGAATAAAAACGACCCAACCATCTTGATAAACGAAGCGCGTCTGCTATCGGTTGAACTCGTTCGTGCAGTTATATACTTCTAGCTATCTGACAATACCTGTTATACGTTTATAAATTATATACACTTCGCAGTGTAAACTTAAGGTCATGTTTTAAAAATTAAGATATAGTATTAGGCTGCAAATGTACTGCGGCGCGACCGGGGATGACCGGGGATAGACCCCTCCCGCACACAATAGCACTATTAACAATTTCCCTGTCCGCAAAAACGACACAATAGTTAAACAATCAAAACATTCATATATGACTCACCAGACAGTGAAATGATTAAATAAAACTATTCTCAACTGTTTGGTGACCCTTTTTAAGCAATTTTTATAAATAATATCTAGGTACTTAATAATAATTTTTATCCAGATCAACAGTCCAAGTATTAATCTCATCAACTTGGATTGACAGGATTACAAGAGAGCAAAAATAAAAAACCACTTAGTTTTCCGAAGCAGTGTATGTTATTGAAATCCACTCAAACCAACAAAGAAAACAGATGCATAACTGACTGCAACCGAATTAATGCCTAAACCATGCTTAATCCTTCTACGTCCTTACGTACACATCTTTCTTCTTTCTTTCTTTATCAGCCCGTAATAGCTCGGGTTTACTATGCTCCTCGCGCTGCTTACGACTCTAATCACCGCGCTGCTGCAATATTACCTTATCTGCCCACACACTGCTCTATTCGCCAATAAATCGAGAAAAAAAGCGCAAAAACACAGGGAACGTTGAGCATGAACAGGAGCATGACGTGCGGCATAACGAGTATTGTTGCCACACTACGTCTCTGTATCCTTTCCTCGCTACTTCCCATGCCGCTCGACGAGTGTGTGGCAGGGGGGGAGTGGGGGGGGGGTAAAAGTTCACCGCTGGATGCACGTACATAATATGCACGTACATAATATGCATGTACGTAAAATGCACGTAATACTAATATTATTTGCACAAAAGTGTGCGTGTTCATATAGTAATTTTACAGAACGTGCATAATTTTATGTTGCTTAACATAAAATGATTATTATATTGGGGCGTGTCACTTTATAATTTGATCAATGTACAATAAAACTTCTTATCTTCTTATAACATAACATATTTCCTGCGGTTAAACAAAATACACAACTAATTATGGTAAATATAAAATTTGATTTGTTATTTCACATATTATTTCTTTAAGTTTTATAGGATACGAACAAAAGGGGGACGCCCATTTTCGGCCATGGAACGCCCAACAATGTGCATTTGTTAAAAAATTATATCTTTATTTATGGTTATTAATCGCGGTATTCATTTATCCTCAAACAATGGGAATATTTTTGCACAAATTAAAAGTACCGGAAACATAATAATAAAAATTAAGTAAATCATTAGGTCATTAGTTTGTGAATAAAAAAAAGTGTTGCCAATCACAAAACACATTTAAAAAAATCGATTCTCTTTTTCGATCGATTATTTACGGTGTCATCATTACAGTGCTAATATAATTTTTAAATAATTATGATGTTACGATAATTAAACAACGAATTACTAGCTGATTTCCAATGAATTCTTTAGAGAATAACAAATGCTACGGCATAATTTAACTGTTAATCTTAACCAATCTTCTTTGAAAACAGATAAGAACTGTTATTCTTATCTGTTTTTAAAGAAGATCGATTAAGTTATTCTTATCTGTTTATAACAATACATTTAAAATAGAATCATGTTATGATAACGAAACAAGTTAATTTCCAGCTGATTTACCATGAATCCTTTAACCTTTTGAGCGCCAAAGTCGCCTATACTTGACCAACACCTGCGGGCCCTGAGCGCCAACGACGTCTATAGTTGACAAAAAACCCGGCTCCGAAAAATATGAATTATAGATATTGGAAAATTATTACAGGTATTTTAATTCTACACTCCTCAAAATAGGAATAACCCAGCAACATGTGAGTATAAAAAACAAGTCTTCTAGAGCCACAAGTACTAAGAAACATTGAACTAATAAAAATGGATTTTTATCTAAGCAAATACTATGTCCAGCACGCCAAAGTCGTCTATGGTTGACCGCTAGTGTCAAACGCGGGAGGCATATATTTCTTGAAAACTATCCAAAATTCAGCTCAATGGTGTTTTTTTTTCTATTATTATTGATATTTGAATAAAATTAAAGGTTAGAAACATAAAAATATAATTAGATAATTGAATAAAAAAATGTTAACAGATTATCTTCGCATAATAAATCTAATATCTCAACTCTAGCGCATCTTTAGCGCGTCATCGAAAATCAGTTCACTGGGCACCGTGATCAAGGATAGACGACACCCTGATGACGTCATAAGTGATTACCGAGAAAAGTAGAGCAATGCAACATGAACGATTCCTCAGAACTCATTCGGATTTTGGAAAGCGTCGATGATGATGAATTTTGATTTTTGATTGATGAATTGTGATGAAATGTTTATTTATTCCATGACCAAGATTTTAGTATTATAAGGCTGATTTACCTAGTGCGAATAATTATATACAATTGTTGATTAATGAATAATTATGTACCTTTTTTAATAAGTAGTAGTGCTGTGGTTTACTACTATTTTATTGTTATTGTTTGTTTTTTATTTATGTTTATATGTACAAAGTACATATATAAAAAAAAGTGGATGACAGCACAAGATTAAATAAAACATACAGTTTATAAAGAGTCATTTATAGCATAAAAAACCAACAAAAACAAGTTATTTTACGTTATCGATATATCAACTCTTGGCAACACTATTTTGTTTTGGCGCTTTGGCGTACAGGACACGGTAATGCGTTTTTAGCGTGGCGCTCAAAAGGTTAAAGCTAAACAAAACGCTACTGCACAATTTAACTGTTCTTAAAAATACATTCCAAATAGCATTTAAATAAATAAAGGAAAATATATTTTAAAAAGTGTGCAGAACTTAAAGCACCTCAAAGATTGTTTTTTAACGATATTATTAATCGAATAAAAATCGATATCTTTTCATCTATTTTATGTCAGTTAAGTGGCAACATCGAGTCTGACAGCTAGGCCCTGTCATGGAATGAAATCACAATTCAGTTCATATTTCACAACTATATCTATACCTATATAAATAGTCACATGTAGAATTCATTTGCGTGTTTGTTTTTATTTTTGTGAATTTGTTATCGAAGTAACGAACTAGCCTTCAAGTACGACATCCAACTAGCGAACAGGAAAATTCACCAATTAATAGTCATGGACATGTATGTATCAGCTGTGGCAAGTCACTTTTGAGAATAAGATCACACACATTGTTTGGGTCTGATTCTCCACGTGAGGAACTCATAAGGAATGAAATTGCCCATCAAATTGCACCACGTGAGGTACGTATTCAACATTTTTTAATTTATTGAGAGTGTGTGTTACATGTTTTTACTCTGATTACATCCACACAAACTATATCTGACAAACATACAAGCTTATTTATAACATGGCGATAAGATTAGCTTGTCACCACCAGATAGACTGCTACCGTTTTTACCAACTACCAAGTAATGAGACAATTGATTTTTCATTGTTTTTGGACTACTGGTAGTTTTTAAGTGCTTAATTATTAAATAATATAGGCCATTAAGTCTGCTTTTGTGCAGTAACAATTAATTTGATAAATATTTTATATGTATTTGAGTTTAAAGGAAACAAATCTATTTTATTTTTATTTAGTTCACTTTTTCACTTTTTTATTTACGAGGGTGGATTGAAAAGTACTCGGCCTAACCAAGAAAATAAACACATACTAAATCAGTTATATTTTTATTTTTCTACATAATCACCATCAAGTTCAATACACTTTTGCCACCTCCCCTTCCAAGCATTTAGACCGTTGAAAAAAAATGATTCTTCCTTAGAGTCAAAATATGCGTCTACAGCTGCTTTGACCTCGTCGTTTGTCGAAAATCTTTGACCTCCCAAGTGCTTTTTTAGGTTAGGGAACAGAAAGAAGTCTGATGGTGCCAGATCAGGTGAATACGGCGGATGCGGTAACAGTTCAAAGCCACAGTTGTGAATTTCAGCCATTGACTGTACTGACGTGTGAACACGGGCGTTATCTTGATGAAACAGGACTTTTCTTCTGAGCATTCCTCGACGTTTTTCTTTTATTTCCTCTCGTAAACGACGTAGTAAGGTGCAGTAGTAATCAGAGTTTATAGTCTGACCCCTTTCAAGATAATCAATCATAATCACACCTTTCGAGTCCCAGAATACTGAAGCCATCACCTTATTTGCCGACAAAATCGACTTAGCCTTTTTTAGGGGTGGTGAACCAGGTCTTCTCCACTGTTTTGATTGTTGTTTTGTTTCCGGTGTACAGTAATGAACCCATATTTCGTCCATAGTAACAAAACGATTCAAAAAAATCATCTGCATCGGCTTCAAATAACTCCAAACAGTCGCGTGAAATAGTCAATCGCGTCCTTTTTTGTTCAACTGAAAGCAGTCGCGGAACCCACCTCGCAGACACCTTGTGGAAACCCAACTCGTTGACAATGATGTTTTGAGTTCGTTCATAAGAGATGCCTATAATCTCGGCTATCTCTCTAATTTTTAATCTGCGGTCTCCCATTATTAAATCAAGTACTTTTTTAATATTTTCGTCAGTAGTTGACGTCGAAGGCCTTCCAGAGCGGGGTTCATCTTTCACACTCTCTCTACCACGCTTAAATTCTGCTATCCATTTTTTGACGGATGAATATGACAGAACACAATCGTCTAATGTACTGACCATGTCATAATGGATGGCTTTTGATGATAGCCCCTTCTTATGGAGGTACTTAATGACGGCACGCTGCTCGATTTGCTCCATTCGCGGAAATTATGTCCGATTACTTTGTTAATAAATTTATAAAATCACAACTAATTATCGCACACGTTTCGAACTTCACACAATGAACTAGTCTGAACTGAACTAAATAATGTGAGTAGGTTTGATTTTTAGAATTGAATGGATCTGTGTTAGGCCGAGTACTTTTCAATCCACCCAGGTAATATTATTTCAGTTGCCATCGTCATCTCGTGTGTGTCATAATTGTTGGCGAAGGTTTGATAGAGCAGCATCACATTCAACTGCAGAACGGGAACCATCTGAATCAAACATTCTAATTTCAATAGAGAATGAAGCTGGGTATTTCCACCTGCTTGGGACACTGTAATTAATAAAATTAAAACTAAACCTAAGCATACCACGCAAGACTTCAAGACAGTAAGTTCATTCTGCGTAGATCGGACCATAAATAGTTATTAAAAAGCTGAAGTTACTCCAAGTTAACACTGATTTCAGTACACCAGTCACCTCAATCCCCCCATGACCATGTGTGCTGGAAAGCACCCGAAAGTCGGGAATTAAAAATCAAAGAAATTAAATGCGATAACATCGGTAAAATTAGTTGTTAAAAAACTGTATTTGTGAAAATAAAAACTTTTATATCTTAAAATTCCCGACTTTTTTTAAACCAATTTCTTAACCATTTCATTCCTTTAATTGTATATTATCATATCTATATGCTTTTATATGTGGGCACCCATGGCCGAAATGTCTATGAAGAGTGGGCATTCCTCTTTTTTGGCAGTGACGTCATAACTGCAGCCGCTTATCTAAGTTATGCAAAGTACTTTTTAGTTTCATGGCAGCCACTTATATACACAGTTATGCTAGAAGTTGGTCTTATGTTGTAAAATACCTATGGGTATTTAAAAAAGACTTACCTTTAATTTTACTGAAAATCCGCGTCGTCGACGCTGCGGAGTTTTCAAAAGATGTTTGATATCTTCTAACAAGTTATTAATGAGTTCTTCCGACAAACGATAATTTTCTGTAAGTCTTTGTATTTATTAAATAAGTACTCAAAATTGAGCGTAAAACTCAGCGATTTGAGGTGTAGTTTGATCGCAATCACAACATGGACTTTGCGCTACCTTAAACTTATGCAAATACGCTTTAAATCCTCCATGGCCGGTAAAAATCTGATATCGTAGGTTATTAATATGAAATTTCGTCATGGTCTTATATGCATGAGTTACTGATGAGAAGAATTTCTTCGTCACTCGTCCGGTTTCCGCTGTGGTGTAACGTTCTTGCCAGTTTTGCATAATGTTGTCCCTGATAAGGCGCCTTGCGAATGACAGGGGGAAGCAGTCGAATGCTGGTTTTTGCTTAGAAGTTTCAGCAGCTGACTTGCCTAGTTCGACAGCCCTTTCGTTTCCTGGAATCCCGCAATTTTCCTTTATCCAGAAAAATCTCACTTCACCTTGATTTCTTCTTATTTCTAATATCCGATCCAAGATTTCTGCTGCAAGAGGGTGTAGGGTATTAGGGTTTGTTAGACATTCGAGTGCGGATTGAGAGTCACTTAAGATGTTCGCTTTCCTGAGTGTGTGTTTGCTTTGTATCACTTCTGTGGCTTTCAAAATGGCAGCTAATTCTGCTTGATACACACTACAGTGGTTTCCTAGTTTCAATCTTGCTTTGTATATTTCCTGGCCTTCCTTCCAACAGGTAATGGCAGCACCTACTCTACCAGCTATTTTGCTGCCATCCGTGTAAATACAAGGCCATTCGTTTTCCATAGATTTCAATTCGTCTTCGGTTGTGATTGAACTGTATGATAGCTTTTGTCGTTCTGGTGGGTGAAGTAGAGTGTATGGGCTAACAGGTTTCGCTAGCTCCCTGCCGGGTAATTGCGGAAGTGGTTTCCCTATTTTTATTTTGTACAGTTCATCATTTTCTTTTGCTCTTAAATCCAGGGGAAGGATTCTGGCTAATGAGACCATGGAGGATGTGCGGTGTGCTTTACTTATCATGATGCTAAATGTCCTGGTTATTCTGTTGAGCCTAGTCTTTATTTACTTTTTATCTGCTACAGACCCCCAGGCCCCTGCAGCATAAAGGACTGTAGGTTCAACGACAGTAATATAAATTGTCCTGAGAATTTCTGTGATAAGTCCCCAGTTCGCTCTCGCTGCTCTTGCCACCTTTTTGTAAAGCTGTATCGACTTTTCTGAAGTTCTATCTACGTGTTTTATGAAATTAAGATTGACGTCTATTGTGAGTCCGAGAATCGTGACACTATCAGTAAATTTTATTTCGATGTTGTCGAGTGTTAGTTTTCGGTTCTCGAATTTCCTCTTTTTAGTTACTACAATGGCCAGAGTTTTATGGGCTGCCAGTTTCATTTTACGCAGCTTGCCCCACATATGGTTTAAAATCGGGTTAAGCTCATTCTCGATCTCGTCCGTTGGGTAGAAGGTTTCGGATAATAGATCTGCTGATTCTGCTGGGGTCTTTATTGTACCGTTCGGCGTCTTCCTTAACAGAGTATCTTCTAAATTCTTGTTGGATTTACGTATGACCCTGTATATGTCGTGCCACATGCTCTCCCGATTTTGCCTACTGCAGAATTCTTTCCAACTTGATGTGATTGTTTCAGTGAGAAGATTTTTATATTCTGTTTTAGCCTGTATATATTCGTCAATTATTGTTTGTTTTCTATTTTTATTTGCGAATCTGATCCTTCTCCTTTTCCGAATAACCTCTTTTTTCTTCTCGTCTATGGTTTTAGTAATGGTGTTTTAGTAGATATCCTTTTTAGGTAATTTAGGGATAGATTTGTCGCAAGAATTTTGGATGCATTTAACATACTGGGTGACTAGGTTCTCTAAAGCGTGTGTGCTTGATGTCTTTCTGACTTCTTCCTCGGTGATATTGTAAATTTCCAGTTCCGCTTTCAGAGTAGAGGCAAAGTCTGTCCAGTTAGCCTTACTTGTGTTGTATATACGCGTAGATTTTCTCTGATTGCCTTCTTCTAGTGAATTGTCAACTTTTATATTGTATGTAATTGTCCTGTGGTCTGAGCGTGACAAAATCTGGATTAACAATCCAATTGGTTATTTTATGTAGTAGGCTGCTTGAACACGCGGTTATGTCTACGATGCTAGTGTAGTCTTTATTTGCTCTGCGCGCCCGGAAAGTGGGTGTCCTTCCCACATTCAGTATGTGTAGTTCAAGCTAGGCTAACGCTTCCGAAACGGCTGTGCCCCGTCTATCCTCCACGTTGCAACCCCACCAGGGACTCTTTGCATTGATGTCCCCTCCTAGTATAACGTGCTTGGTATTTAGGATGTTTAGGAATTTCTTATAATCTTTCTTATGTCTTCCTCGACGTCTTGATTTCCTTCCATATATGTGTTTACAATTGAGATTTCAAAATCTTTCATTTTAAATTTAAATGCAACAATATTTTCCGTTATTGTTTCTGGATTAACAGTTAATTGTATATTTGGGTCAAAGACAATGACAGCCGACTTGACGGGTTTTTGGGTGTCGCTGGTATGTGTTGTGTTCATGAGGTTGTGGAAGCTCTTAACCATCCAAGTGTTGTCAAAAATATATTCGATTCCCGCAAAACTTTGAAGAAAAGCTACAACTAAAGGAAAAGTGGGTACGTACCTACAAAAACAAGAAGAAAGACTTCTCCTTTAAATGGCGCCTTGATGAAACATTTGAATAATATTTTATTTTAACGGAATAATATATAATTGATAGAATCAGACGTTACTTTGCGGAAATCCTTTATAATAAACAAAATAATAGTTACTTTGCAACCATCCGCTAAATAAAATAAAATGATGTGTCGTCCCTAGTTTGAAGATCACCTCTCGCCCTCCCTCAATTGCATGCACTAATCCCGTCACCATCAATCCCAGCACCACTAGAATAGTGGTATTGGGAGTAGTGGTTCTGGCATTGGTGGTGACGGGATTAGTGCACGCATTTGAGGGAGGGCGGGAAGTGCTCTTGAAACTAGGGAAGACACATAATTTTATTTTATTTAGCTGATGGTTGTAAATAAACTATTAATATCTTTTGTAATAATATATAATTTTTAAATTTAGCTATATATTATTTTTGATGGCACGTTTGGCGCAGTGGCTGAACAACCAGAATGAAGCAAACATTTGTGTGATCCACAGGTAGTTGCTGTGGGTCCGTTACTGTATGTTAGTGCATGTAATATTCTATGTTTGTAAATGCACCCACTATACAGGAAATAAATCCAATTTAGATTAACATTTAAAAAATATTACACATTCTTCACAAATTATAATATTCCTTGACTAATATCGTGTGTTGATGGTACCTACATTACATTGATGAGACCATCACAGAATGAAGAATATTATTACTGACGAAAGGGAAACCATGCGAGAAATGTGCAATTAGTAAGTATACAGAGCTTGTGAAAGTAAGATATAAAAATTGAAAAAGCCAGTTATTTTTACTATTACAATATTGTTTGTTTTATGACGCAACTTATGGAGGCGCTACACACGACAGTTTTATTTTTAATAACTGTGTGATTCAAATATCTGTCTTTTATAAGTCTGTCTGTTGTGCTTTTTTTATTATTTAAAAAAGAATATTAACAATGCTATAAACATTACTAATGTTCCCCTTAACCACTCGTGGTAAGCTTAAATTGCCTGTGTTACGAGTGGTTCACGCCAGTAGTCGAATGCCGGATTCGAACCCACGACCTTTTTGAGTTCGCTGTCCGCGCCCTGCCATTATGCTACTGTCTCTATTATATGTGTATAATTATAAGTCTGTTTGTTGGTTCTGTTTTCACAGCTAAACTACTGGACAAATTCTGATAAATTTGGTACGAAAACAGCTTGGACCCTGGAGATGGAAATAGACTTTAGGTGCAATAACCGACATCCACGCAAGCGGAACCGCAGGATAAGCGCTAGTATTATCTAGACTCGCGGTAACTTGTCAAGCCAATTTTAGACAGAACGGCGAACCGCACCGTGTGTAACACGAACCATTTGGAGCCACTTTTGACCTCCTCGTAACTCAAAACCTATTTCACATAAACGTGTCAAAATTATTAGACAAAATAAAAAAAAATTATAAATAAAAAATAATAATTCATATTAAGACTTGCAAGATATATATGTAATTCAAATTTCGTAAACACATCTTTAATGGTTATTTAGATATTAACGTCCAAAAATCGTCATTTTTAGCACTGACTGACCTATAGATCAAAACTCTAACCTAGTTCCAGATGACCTAGAAAGTTCAAATTTGGCATGCAGATAGGTAATTAGGTGAATACAAAGGAATAAATCAGAAACTGGTAATTTTTTATCATTTTCATATAATTTTTCACTTAATTGATTCTATTAGGAACACTAAACTTTACACGGTGCGCGGTGCGACGCCGTGGGAGCGATGCGGCAGCCGGCCGCGCTATTAAGCGCGAGCGCCGTCTTGTTGTCCGGTTGTCTTTTTTTTTTGCGCCCGAAACAAATATGGGCAACCCTCCGGAAAGCGGGGGAGGGAGGCGGTGAATGCTCATAGCATACCACGCAGCCGGCTGCGTGTAATAGTTATAAGTAGGTATGTATGAATACTTAACTCTGAATGAGTTTTATGAATGGGAACTTATTAGTATGTTAACAAATTGTTTTTCTTGAGAATTCAATAGATAACGGGTAATTTGATTGACGATTGACAATTACGTAAATCGTCTTAAATAATTATCTTTTTATTACGTATAGTGTACAATAAGTCGTACAATAGAATTACGGATGGGTGACACAATTACCTTACACCGAATTATTACAATGCGTCTCGATGGAAGCTGCCTATTTCATTCGATTGCCAAGTTTCAGATATAAAGTAATGTATATGTCCACAGGGAATAATTCCCTATTTGCTTGGCTTTTGTTATTACTATCCACAAATCACAAGGCCTTAGCCTTGACAGTGCTCTTCTCGACATAGGCTCCTCTATATTTAGTAGAGGGCGGGCTTACGTTGGACTCTTCAGAGTTAAAACCTTAGATGGAGTACATCTTATCAATTTAAATCTAAGTCAAATCAAGTCACAAGAGAGCTCTATTGTAGAGTACAACCATCTGCGCACTTTATACCACCCCGACTTGGCCAAATTAAGTATTTAAACAGAAAATGCGATAATGAGTGAGCTATTCACTCGAACATATCAAAGGTACAAGAAAATATAGAAAATAACACAAAAAAGACAATAATACCCCGTAAACGTAGAAAATACAGTAGTTTAACAAAAACCATTTGGTTTTTGTTAAACTACTGTATTACCAAATAAGTAACCAAATAAGTACCTACTAATAATTTATGTACAAAAAGTAATGATATTCCATCAAAAACATAAATGTGAAATGAGAGCCAAGTTCAATATTATGATATATGCCTTGTTGTTGACTTCAACGACAAAAGAAGTGAGATCTAAATGGGTGCCAAGTTCAATGGTCAGTCCTAAAATTTATTTATAACAACATAAAATATGATTTATTCTTATAACTTAGGATAATATATTATAGCCTTAGGTCTGACTTGGCTAGTTTTCATATACGAATTATATTATAGCTTTCGCAAGTTCTAAACCTGTTACTCGTCGGTTCTTATTTTATTATTCCAAAAATTTGACTTGCTGTTAAAAACTAGCCATCGAACATGACAGTTCGTATATGAGAACTAGCCAAGTCAGACCTTAGGCTACAATATATTATCCTAAGTTATAAGAAGAAATTATATTTTATGTTGTTATAAATAAATTTCAGGACTGACCATTGAACTTGGCACCCATTTAGATACTCGTATCACTTCTTTTGTCGTTAAAGTGAACAACAAGGCATATATCATAATATTGAACTTGGGATCAAAGACATTTATTCTCATAAGAATTTACAAAAATTCACTTAAATGAGAAATACATTAAAAACAAAATACATAATGAGTGTTAGGTAGTAAGTGGTCACCGAGCGTGCCAGGCAAAGTACACAAATATTTTATGTTAAAAAAATATATAAATAGTGCGGGTAGAAATTTTACCATCATAACAGGATTAAAAGATCGCCCGTGCAAACAAACACAAACGGTGCAAGTAAACACAGATACGTGGATTTAAAGATTCTTTGCTAGAATTGACTAGCCATCATAACGAGAATTATTGTAATATTGTTATGTTATATTAATTATTAATATGAATGTTTTATGATATTTAGTAACCATAGTGATGGTTTTTAATATTTATTCATTTATTATATATTTATTTGTTTGTAGTTTTTTTTTTTTGTTTAGAAGTAGTTAGGGTATTATAGTTTGTGATTTTGTAGGCTATTTTTAACAGTCTTAAATGTTAGCATACTTTTAGCTTCCTTGATATCTACAGGCTATTTATTGTATAGTTGTGCGCTTTCATAGTTTCTCCGTAGTTGGTTCTTGGCCGTTGCAGAATTAAGTTATTAGCACTTCTAAACATTTTAGTTTGCACATTTTTCTTTTTTTTAAAGGTTAAGTTAGTATGTATGTTTTTATTTAA